TTGGTTATGATACTTCTGTGTGTGGGTTCGAAACCCATGTACCGCAAATGGCATCCACTAATTGTTTTAATATTTTACTACTGTAACATCTTAATGGTGGTTGTAGACGTTGCATCATTCCTTGTGTTAACTTCTGAGATAAGAGGTTACATTTCACTTTTTTTTTTAGTTTGGAGAATTTTCCAGAAAATCCTTTTGGTCATACAAACTTCTTTCAAGACACGGCACGCTATACGATTTATATTGGACTTTCACTTTAATATTGGACACCTACCTGTTCTGTATTAAAAATATAGTACGGTTAGAACAAAGGAATACGTCATTGTAGTAATTTAAGATGCATTAACACGAGAAATGATGCAACGTCTTCCCTTCGCCCATTACACATTTTACGAAAAGAACAATTGATGCTTGTTATCTGATTCATTTAACGAATTATTATTCCAAGTCTACTGATTTTCGATATCCAAGCTCTTAACATCATATCACTGTGTTTATACGCTTTCCAAGTGAAAGATAGCAGAGCTTCATTTAGGATATGATTTTATGGGATTGTTTAATTTCTTGTCTATTCTCCATTTTTTCTTTTCTTTTCTATATATACATTTAGTTGACAGTTGACAATCATATTTGATTTACTTTATTGTATGGTAATTTTTTCAAATACGTGTAATGGTCAGCTTTTCAAATAAATACTATAGAGAAAATAAATTCATTATTTAAAAAGAAAAAAGTTTTAACACTAAATGGTCAGTTTAAATCCTTCTTAACAGTAATGGATTGTCTCAGTCAATCATTAAAAATATCCAAGATGTAAAACAAATTTGAAAACATTTTTTGTAAACATCCCCAATGTAAATTGATGTAAACAGTATTTGTGTAAGTCCAACATTTTGTGTAACTAGTATATTTTGTGAATATCATTGTGTTCATGTACATAATTGGTCATATTTCAAAACACGAAAATTTCATGCTACGGACATTTCGTTATCCAAGAGGTGGCTGAACTGTGCTCTGGTAAATTCAATGTGGCTTACAGCCGTGAACCGGTGTTGAAACTACCAGCATCACACCTCGTGTTTAGGGGCGTCCGTGGTCGAGTGGTAAGGTCGCGGACTTCTAGCCACCTGACCCTCAGCTATATGTGGATTCAAATCTCCACAGGGACTTTTGAATTTTTCATGTGAGTAAGCTATCAATCTAGCTTACGGAACGTCGGCACGTGGTTCTACTCGTTCTTGCCTAAAACAATGCATGGAGGGACACCTGAGGTATACCCCCCACCTTTAGTTGGAAAGTCGCTATATGATCTCTGCTGTGTTGTTGCAACGTAAAACCCAACCAAAAAATGTCATCTTTTCACCATTTTAATAAGCATTACACTTTGAGTGAGAAAAAATGAATAAATAAAATTATTTCCTCAATGACCTTGAGATGAAAATTTAATTGGAATGATATATTTCACATACATGTATAACATGTTAAAAGTTATTATATATTTTTTTCTTTTTCTCTTCACTATCCTTGAAGGACACTGTAGCAGTCATGGCATTTATAGAAATCTTGCATATTTGTAAATATTTGTTGATTACAACTTATTTATTATTATTATTTCTCCTTTCATCGATTACATAATGGAGTGTACTTTCGTTTTCAGGAACAGAAACCTGTTAGTAGAATCAAAACTTTGCCGTTTTCACTTTTTACTCCTTACAATTTGGTTGCTTCTTAATAACTCTTGTATATTGCTTGTCTTTTAGTCAATATTTCGAGGTTAACGCTAGTCATTTCCATTCATTGAAAGGACTGACCAAAACATATTCTGTAAAGTCTAGAGCACTCTATAGAAATCTTTCCTTTTCCAAAAATGTAGCTATTGTTTTCACTGCTTGTTTAATAAAATCGTGGTCAACAATTTTCCTTTTACAGTGTGGAGACGTTCATCCGCATCCAGGGCCCGATAACTCATTTTCACATGCATCACTTGATATTTCACATAACTTGTCCATTCTTCATTACAATGTTCAGAGTCTTTTACCCAAAATTGATATTATCAAGACAGAGTTCGATTCTTTTAACTTATTATCTTTAAGCGAAACATGGTTACATTCATCTGTAAGCACAAGAATAACTTTCATATTCCCGAGCGCAGAGACATGACAAATATGGTGATGTTATATTATACGTCAAAGAAAATGTAGCGTATGTTCGAAGGCATGCCTTAGAATTCTTTGATATTGAATGTATTTGGATTGAACTTATTCTAAAGCGGAACCTCAAGATGCTTATTGGACTCTTCTATCGCCCACCAAACTCTTTTGACCTTGCACTTAATTCTGGTTATCAAAACATTACAATTGTTGGCGACTTTAACCTTAATCCTGCCATACCCGCATCCAAGCGAAAACTCTTACACCTTTGTTAACAATTTGGACTTGCTCAATGTATCAATGATCCAACTCACTTCACTGAAACGTCTTATTTTTTTTAAAAAAAACATACGTAGTCTGGTACTGAGTGACGTTGCTGAACCAGTTTTCTTTTAGTAAATACGTTATCATTGTCCCACTTTTGCACTTAAATGTACTTAACCAAAATGCCAGACTCACTCCAATCAAATATGGCTGTGCGACCGAGGAGATTATAATGCATTGAGATACTCTTTAGAACAATTTGATTGGCAGACCATTCGTTACAATGATATTGACCAATGGGTCTCTGCATTTACATCTACCATATTTAAATTTTCTAACTAATATATCTCTAATAGGTTAATCACCATCAGACCCACGTAAGTGGATATCAGGTGAAATTATACGACTAATTCGCAAATTCAATCGTCTTTTCAAACAAGCTAAGCTCTATAATCGAACTTCGGACTGGTCGAAATTCTGCCAACTTAGAAATAAAATAGTTTCCCTAATTAGAGATGCTAAATCAGAATATACAGCCAAATTAACCAAGACTCTCATTAATAAAGCATCAAATAAACCATGGTGGGCCACAGTTAAATGTTTGTCTCCCCTAATAGTCATATAAGATATATTCCTCCCCTGCTCAATGACATAAATATTCTATATGACAACGAAAAAAGGCTGACGCCTTCAATCATTTTTTCGCTCAACAAACATTTCTTGACGAACCTGATTGGCTACCCATTACACCAATTTATTCGTTCTCCTCAACTCTATCATCACTTCACTTTGAACCATCTGATATCGAACCAGTATTACGAACACTACCCTTGGGGAAAGCAGTTGGTTGTCAATCGCGTCTTAAAAGAAATATCGTCTAAATTAGCTGTTCCTTTGTCAGATATTTTTAATTATTCTCTGTCTATCGGTACTTTTCCTACAAAATGGAATGTTGCAAACGTATGTCCAGTTCACAAAAAGAATGAGACTAATGTCATTAGTATTTATAGACCAATTTCACTTCTCTGTTCCCCAAGCAAAGTTTTAGAAAATGCTGTTTACACACACGTATGTAATCATTTAATTAGCAACAATATTTTAACAGAATATCAGTCTGGTTTTCGCCAAGGCGACTCAACTATAAACCAACTATCAGTCATTTATAATTCTTTCTGTGAAGCAATAGACAATGGAAAGGAAATTAGAATTGTATTTTGTGATATTGGGTATGACACAAAGGACTCATTACTAAATTGTCATCTGTTGGAATTCATGGAGATTTACTTCTTTGGTTTCAAAGCTACTTATACAACAGGCAGCAAAGAGTCACTGTCCAAGGATCATCATCTTTTCTTCTTTACGTCAGGGCCGGTATTCCTCAAGGATCCATTCTCGGTCCACTGCTTTTCCTTATATTTATAAACGACATTGTAATAGATATCGACGCCAACGTCAGACTTTTTGCAGATGACACAATTTATCCCTTATTGTACACCCAAAATAACAGCAAATGTACTAAACTATGATTTACAAAAGATTAACCAATGGCTAAAGAATGGCTGGTTTCGTTTAATTCAGCAAAGACTATATGTATGACTATATCTCGGAAAGCTATCAAAACACAACATCCTCCCCTACTTTTGCAAAACCAAGGCATTTCTGAAGCTTCTTCTCACAAACATTTAGGAGTTGTTCTATGAAACGATTGTTCATGGTCAAATCATCTAGAATATGTTAAAAACAAAGCTTGGACAAGGATCAATATTCTCTGAAATCTAAAATTTACACTCGACAGAAATATATTAGAAACATTATATTTGATCTTCGAGGCTTCCATCATAGTCACAGGTGGTACTAAACTTTGTTCCCTTGAAAACCTTTACGACGGCCTAGGATGGGAATCATTATCAACTCGGTGTGGCAATCACAAACTGGTCTTTATTTACAAAATAATCCATGTCCTACTTACTTAAACACTCTAATCCCAACACGTCAAAGCGAAAGATACACCTTCAGAAACTCCTCTGATATTCCTCCTATCTATTGTCGGACATCCTTTTATCAAAACTCTCTTATCCCGTCTAGTATCCGGTCTTGTAACACGCTCCATCAGAATACAAAATCATCAGAAACTTTACAACAATGCAAGCGACTTCTTTCTAACCCACACAAACCCCCTAACTATAATTACACAGGACCTTGAAACCACAAATCCTGCATAATCGCTTAAGACTTGGCTGTAGTTCCTTAAATGATGATCTTTTCCGAAAAAAATATTTCCGAATCAAACACATGTGTTTGTGGTCAAACAGAAACAGTACGTTATTTTCTTCTAAAATGTCCTTTGCATCAACATATGCGAGATATCCTCTATAGGAACATCATACAGCTGGATAGATCCCTGATCATAACTCACACTCTGCTATTGCATGGTTCAAATTCCCTTTCAAACAACCAAAACGCAGAGCTTTTCAAGTCTGTATACCTTTATATTGATTCTACGAAACGATTTATATAATGTCTGACTGCTACTGCTATGCTGCTTATATTCATTTGTTTGTTCTTATCTTTATTTGTTTAATGACTTTTTTTTGTGTTTTTTTTCTCTAGTTGTTTTCTGTAGTTTTTAATTTAATTTTTGTCAATACTTACTAGAATTTTGTGTTTACCATAAATATTTTTCCTTTTCAATCTTGCATTATCAAATGTGTTCACTTTTTGGTAACTTGTTAATTACAACCACAACAGACATTGAAGATTGTTATTGTTAGATAATGGCTTCTATAAGCTTCTGCTTTCGGCCAAAATCTATAATTATTGTTATGATGTTGTTATTAACACATGTACAAATATTCTAAATAAAATATATTTAAACCAAATCAAGAAAGGTTCGTGGCGCCAACCTCCTGATATTTAACTCTGCAATGGAATCCTTATTTAAAACTGTTTAGATTAAAAACGTACCTTACAATATCAAGTCACTCTATTTTTAAGAGTTGACAACTTATGTAAGAATTGAAAATGAAGTCTGTAAGGGTTCAACATAATCTAATTTTACAATAATTTATTTCTTAAATACCCTTGTTGAAACTATTGATCCAACGACTCCACTGTTTAATTGATCTGTTTACCATGTTTTATAACTTAACATAGATTTGTATGTTATCAGTCTATATATAAACAGGGAAGTAAATTGAATGACGTTTTACAAAGAAAACGATATCTTATAAGTTACGTGAAAATGTAAATGGAATAACAATTATAGAAAATGAGCGGATATAAAACCAAGTTAATTGTTGCTGCCATAGATTTTGGAACAACATATTCAGGATATGCTCATTCGTTGAAAGATGAATACAAAAAGGATCCATTGAAGGTTTTCTTTACTTTCGATTTTGTTTCTAGATCTCTTTTATTGTTGAATGATAAAGACAACTGCAGTAGAATTTATTTTTGATATCATCATTGTATACATGTTTCGACTATACAGTCTTCTTTATTACAAACATATAATCAAGGGAAATAACGTTAAGAACGTCTTTAGAAAGCATATAAATTGTGGCGACCTAAACGCCATCAAACCATGTTTCACAACTTGGATTGTAAAAAAAGGATCTATAAAGATACGACATGAGTTGAAAAAACAAATAGGTACAATGTTGTTAAATATATATAATATCAAGTAAACACTAAATATACAAAAATACCAAGTGAAAGCATATTTATAAAGTACTTTTGAATTCATGACATTGGGGGATAATGTGCCAAACAAAAACATCCAACAAGTTTCATTAAGTTAACGTTGCCAATTGTTTTTTTTTTTTTTTTTTTTTTTTTTTTTTTTTTGTTTTTTTTTTTGCATTGATGTAAAAATTATTAATACAAGGGAATTAAAATGTTATGAAACATTAGTATACCGGTTTAAGTTTGGATAGTTTCTAATATCAAATTCATGACTGCTCATCTAAACACTGTATTTTTGTTTTTGTTGGGTTTGGTATGTTGAAATCAAAACGATCTCAATTGGCTTCCGTTTTTTGACATTTTTTATATAAATTATAAGATAAATAACATCATTTAAAGATAACGTTATTTCAATTGGATTTGATAAGATAGAAGTACTTGAAAAAGTGTATCACCGAGATCGACAGCATTTAGAGATGAGAATTTGTTAACCAAAATTTAATATCTAAGGTCGTTTAAACGCTAATATTGGTTTATACTTTGGTATGTTTTTCATTCTGTCTTTTACAATCCCCAGTATTTTTCAAGTTCACCATTTTAATGTTTCGTAATTTCAATATCAAGAAGAGTATCATTTTCGTAAGAGTAACTATATGTTAATATAATTTAGGTTGTTTTTCAAATAGATATCAAAATTATAAATGTAATGTTTTTTACACAATATTCGCGAAATCGCATTCAATAGAGTATTCTTTGTTAAAAATAGTCCCCGTTAACTATTGTGACTTTTAGGATACCAACATTACTATAAAAATACACAAAATTATCTATATCACTCTCACTATTAATTAATATATCTTTTAAAACACAAGTATAGTTTGAAAAAAAAATATAATTTTATCTGTTTTTGTTGTTGTTGTTTTTTGTTTTGTTTTGTTTTAATTTGTGTTCAATGTCGATCTTTTAAATTCAAACATGTTAGAATATGACATATTCAGATTAGATAACGGGAAGTTGTTTACATGAACCAAAGTCAGTTAGTATGATGAAATAAAATATCAAATAAATAATTTTCAACAGTTTACAAAAATTGCAGTAAATATATAAACAAGTCGACCTATATCGTTCGAAAAATAAAAATCAATAATTAACTTAGTAAGAGTCAATCGAGAATTCTATTGGAAAATGACATCAATGAACACTTTGTCAAGGTCTGTATGAATGCATTGAGGAGATATGTGTGTGTGAAATAAAGTAATACGGAAGCTCGAGATTTATAAACGTTTCCTTCACTATTTTTTAATTGTCATATCATAATATTGTTTGGTTTTTTGTTGTTGTTTTTTGGAACCACGTTTAAGGCCCGTTTATTTAAGAAAGAATAATACAATACAAGAATACAAACCATGATAACTTTAGCATTATTATTGATATGTAGATAATTAAAAATAAATTTATTTTGTTATGTTTTTAGTTAGAATATTTAAGATATTTTAAAAAGTTAAGAGGTTCATTCATTTACACAATTAGACAAGAAAAGGGCAAAAGGTTGAAAAGTAAGTAAAAAGTAAAAAGTAAATTAACTGCTTTAGTAGCATTTTTTCTGCATGTACTATTTAGAAATCAAACAATTCAATTACATTTATCCAGCAATTTTCAAATTCTTCTAATGTATCATTTTGTAACGCAACAAATCTTTCAATTTTTAATCTGTTTAAAAATTTTCTTTTGAAGATACTTATATCTGGAGTTTGTTTTTTTAATTTACTGGTATAAATGTAATATTTTGAAAAGAGAAAAATATACGATGTTTTCTTATCTTTAGCATGAAAGAAAGATTGTCATACGTAACATTTATTGCTATTTCATTAAGCCATTTGAATAAATTATTCCAGAATATTTGTACTGTTTGGCAGTCCCAAAATAGGTGTTCTATACTTTCAACATCCATACAGCAAAAATCACAGAGACTAGATTCGGTTAATTTACATTGAAGGAGAAATTTGTTTGTTGCAATATTCCTATGTAAAAAATTATATTGAAAGTTTTGTAAAATATTATCTTTGCAATAAACAAAAACGTTTTCGTAAATATTTTGCCATTGAAATTCTTTTTGAGGAAATCGTTCTTCCCATTTTATTTGCGATTTTGTTTTTTTATTTTTACAGAGTCTTATTTGCTTTTGAATCTGTGTTAACTTGTTACTAATACTGGACGTGTTTGTATTTTCTATGAAATCAAAAGTGCTTATTTCTTTAGGCGTTGAAGTTTGATTAATTTGTTGTAGTTTACGTTTCCATTCTTTGGGTATTGATGAAATTAATTTATAAAAGTTCAATATTTCTGTATCAGGAATGTCAAAAGTAAGTTTCAGCTGGTCGAAGGTTTTAAATTATTTTGTTTCAGTGTTAAAAATATCCTTTATTTTATCGATATTTCGACATTTCCATTTTGGAAAAAGAATTAAAGATCCATTATTTTTATGTGTGAATTCTGCCATATTATTTGGTCTAATAGATTTTGTGGATTTTTATTAAAATTTATTTTACTCCATGACAGTAGTAATTCTTTTAAGAAAGTATTTTCGATTTTAAGTTTCTGTATATCATATGTGTTTAAATTACTCATAATATTGTTATTTTGAACTTACATACATAGAACATCACTGAAGTATGTAGCCATTAATTTTTTCAGATATATGCTAACCAGGACTGGACTGACGGTTCTGGTCTGATTACGTTAAAGGCACCCACTGTTGTTTTATTTGACAATAGAGGACACTTCCATTCGTTTGGATATGATGTGAGTATTACTATTTTATTTTTGGTACATTGAAATGTTGTGTGTAAAACATTCTTATTCCTTCTGTAACATGGTTATCTTGAATAGGATTGTCAAATTCTTGTTTTTTTCCAGCTTTTAATGATTTTCAAATAGATTTTTGTGTATATTCTAGGCTGAGACAAAGTATGCAAAACTCTCTGAAGAGGATAAACATATTGGCTGGAAGTATTTTAGGCGTTTCAAAATGAAATTACACGAAAGAGTGGTGAGGGGTTTGTAAAAATTGTAAATAACAATAAGAATGTTGTTACTTGATATCATAAAGAAGTTATAGTGATTATTGACTAAAACAAAAGTATTTATAGATTTAATATTGGTAAGAATTAATTTAGATGAAATCTTGAAAATAATACTTTGTACAAATGCTTTGTCTGTCAACAGAATCTTCGGCGGAACATGATGCTTTCAGATGACCAGGGAAATCGAATGCCAGCCTTAGATGTTTTTTCAGAAGCTATTAAATACTTAAAGGACCATCTTATGAAAAGATTGCGAGACAGAATTGGAGAGTTACGCGACACTGACATACATTGGGTTCTTACAGTACCTGCAATATGGCATGATGGCGCTAAACAATTTATGAAAGAAGCAGCAGCAAAGGTGTGTTAACTGTTCTCTGACAACCATATAACTGTGACTGAGTTTATCTGTCCGCCTAAGAAATCAATGCACATCTATTCACCTAGCTTTCGCCTCAAAATATATCTTAATGAAGAAACCAGTATATCGTATGTTGCGTTGTTGTTGTTTCTTTGTTGTCGTTGTTTTTTTGTTTTTTTTGTTTTTTTTTTTGGTGTTTTTTTGTTTTGTTTTTTCATTTGTCCATACACATCCGTAATCCAGACATGAACAAACTTATCAATCTATAAATTCAGGCTGGAATTCCAGAAGATCAACTGACATTGGCTTTGGAACCAGAAGCAGCCGCCATATATTGTAAAGAATTGGTTGTTTCAAGGGCAAAAGAACAAAAACAGGAAGCAAAACTACAGACTTTCGATCCGGGTTCTCAGTTCATGGTGCTAGATCTAGGAGGTTAATTTTCTTTCATAGGTCATTAAAGTCACAAGTATTCAAAGTGACCAAAGATTTGTTGGAGTCTTATTAGTGACTACATACTTGATTCTAACAACAATCGTTTTTTTACAAATGTTTACCTGTAACTGAATGAGTTATAAAACATACACTGAATGATAAACTGTAAATTGTTATTTATCTACTGTATTTATGAACATGCGTTTATATTGATTGTTACAAATTAAACATATGTTGATTGTTGAAATAATGAATCTATTTTTTATATGTATGCTTATATACTATATCTTTGACACTGAATATACTTTTTAGGCGGAACAGTTGACATAACTGTCCATGAAGTACAAAGAGATGGTACCCTAAAGGAGCTGCACTCCCCGAGTGGTGGACCCTGGGGTGGTACAGTTGTTGACAAAGGGATAGATAAATTCTTAGACGATCTGTTTGGTAAAGACGTTATGGGAGAATTCAGGGATGAATGTAAAACAGATGATCTTGATCTACAGAGAACCATCGAGTTAAAGAAAAGAACGTGCAAGGAGGGCGATGATACAGTAAATCTTAAGTTGCCAATAGCAATATACGAATTCTTTGAAGAGAAAACAACCGTGAGTTTCGCATCAACTTTACCGAGGACAAAGTTTGCTCGCTCTGTAAGAAAGAAAAGAGACAGGCTCCATATTGAAAACGAGATATTCTTGCAAATGTTTAAAAGTCCGAAGGACAGTTTAGTGAATCATGTTGAAAATATGCTTCGAAAACCCGAACTTCGAAATGTTAAAAATATAATGATGGTTGGAGGATTTTCAGAGAGTGAAATAATGAGGGATGCTGTAAAACATGCCTTTCCTACAAAGAATATAATTGTTCCAGAGCAACCGGGATTAGCCGTTGTAAAGGGTACGTATATACATGTATTTGATTCGACTAAATTACGCCTCAAAAAATACATTGTACATGTATATAATATTTCAAGAAGAGGAAGATGATAGTTGAATTGAATTGATTATTTGTCTCTTGATCGTTATTATTCAAAATATCAAAAAGTTCAATATCATCGTTTGTATACTTAAACATTTGAGTGTTGAACTCTTTTGACCACATTCCACTTGAAACAGTCAATATTAAATTAAAAAAAATATCCAAAGCCTAAGATGCTTTCTTTAAAGGCTTAAAAATCTTTTAAACTCAAACCGTTTTTTGCACTATACTGTAGGAAATGTTTTTTAAATGTTTTACTTTTATGTGATGTTGTGTTGTAAGCGTATACCTTGTTTTCAGGTGCAGTTATGTATGGACATAATACAGATTCTATTAGTTCACGACAGCTTCCCTTTACTTACGGTATGTTTTAATATTTTAACAACTTCATGCAGTCATATGTTTTAAGTTCAAATTCTATTGGAAAAAACAGAATGATAAGTTACAAAATCAAAATACATAGAAAATATGTAGATCTAAATGTATAGTAACAATTAATAAAATCAAACGTCATTCATTAAATCATTTTCCATTCACTTTTTATTGAGCCGTTCATTTCTATTGATCAGTGATAGATTAGTTAAATTGAGTTTTAATATTTACCCTGAATGATAAAATTGATTTCAGATGTTATCAAACTAAAGAAAATCAAGTCGGAAAAGACATATAATTTCTTCTTAACATGTGAATATTGTTTCCAATAATGATGTACAAACTCTGAATACCGGACCGTGCTCGGACTTGTTCCGTATTAAGAGGATTCTGGGTTTCAGAGGTTTAGATACACTTAATGAATATTTTGATGTGTGATGTGTTTGTACATTGACTTTCTTTTAGTGCGTATTTACTGATAATCCTTTTATCTTATTCATATCTTATAATTTCTTTTGCAATTAATGTCAGGAGTAATTTTTATTTACCAATAATTATTTTTTATAAGCAGAATTCAGAAAATTAGAAATTATAACAACACCTTATCTGAAACAGAACTTTCTTATTGGCTACAATTGATGAAATTATTCTTACCTAAAGTAAAAATCACTTCCAAATAAAGATACTCTTAGATCAATTTATTTATGAAACAAGAATAAAAAGAGCTATTTTCGTTTTACATTTTTTTTTAAATTCTCTACCACGGGAAACGGACAAAAGCCATCCCGGACAAAATTGTCCGGGTGGCTTTCAGTCCTACACACCTCTTTGAAAATACCTTTACAGTGAAAAACACAATAACGATATCAAGGCTGTAATATAATTGCCTATGTGAAATTAACACACCCTGTTTTTCAAACCTGCATAGATTATAAGCAGTGATCATTAACTGGTAATGCCATGTCACCTGTTGGGATTATGATTTAATTACAGAAAGTTGACGTAAATTACCGTCCTGTTTTCGGAGGATTTTTCCTGCATGTTAAGCTTTATAAGCCATTTGAAATCGGAATTCGGAATTCAGAGGTTCCGGTATATAGAGGATATTAATCAATGAACTTTTGAGTTTTAAAATTGTCCGGTATTTAGAGGGTCCGGTTTTCAGACTTTTTACATTTGTATTTATTTAATGATGCATTTATCACTGTTATCCTATATATTAGGTGTCAGCACAGCCGTGCCATTTAATGATCGTGTGCATCCAGAATCCAAGAAAGTGTTACGTGATGGCGTATACAAATGTGAAGATGTGTTTAAGGTTTTCATCAAAGCTGGCACAACTGTTGTCCCACATAAAACGAAAGCTGAGTACACATTTAGCGCACCTTTCATCGGAACGTCAACTGCAACAGTAGAAGTATATAGATCAGAATCACCAAATCCGATGTATATCTCGGATGATGGTTGTTACCGGATTGGGGAGATATCGATCGCACTGATAGGTAGAGCAAAAGAGGACAAACAAATGATAGATGTAGTGATGATGTTTGGAGATACAGAGCTTCATGTTACTGCAAAAGAACATGGCACAAACAACAAAGTGTCTGCAAAATTCAACTTTCTTAGATAAGATCCCCTATATTTCAATGTTAGAATAATAATTATACTCTTTATCATATGATTAATATGCATGTACCAGTAGCATATGAATTTTAGAAAACACATCTTTAATGCTCTCTTATGAAATAATATTTCAGCTGACATGTAAATAAAAGCGTTCGATAAGGTTACAAATACATGTACATGTAAAGCAGATTGAAAATTACAGAATTTAATTTAACTTTTCATAAAACTTAGAATACGATGACAGAAAAGAAATTGGGAGTCCCCGACCTCGTTTGCGAGTTATTTGCCCTTTAACTTGAAATTGTCTTTTCTTTCCTTTAAAAAATGCCCTTTTTCAGAATTTCCAGTGTCCGTACTTATAAAGGGAACACGAAAAACTTTAACGGAATTCTGTGAACATAAATATTTTGACCAATGTTAAAGTGAAAATAAAAAGAATGGTAAAGATAAGGTTTGTCTTACTCCTATAAAAGTTATCTACCTTTGAAAGTACATGAATTAGCAACTCCGGTAGATGTCCGCAACAGTGTTTTGCGTAAAATGATTCTGTTTTATTTTATGCATTTCAGTGGATTACTGATTTATCCGTGAAAATTATATTTGATAATTTCACAGTAAAAATTATCAAAATATAATTTCACACTTTTCAATGACGAAACTACTTTTTATGTGGTACCTCAATTTTATTTTTGCTGACAATTCTGACAATGTCAGGCTGTTTAAAGAAGAAGCAAAGCTGAAATTGATAATAACTTAAATGTCAAAAGTAATAAAAAGAAGAAAACTTACTTCTATTCATTCAAATTCAAATCACCAAATTTCGTCTCTAATTTTTTTTTATTTTTACAGTCTGAAAAACACATTCCTTCCACATGCAAAACTGCTCTTGTTGACATTTGGGCATGTTAAAGTATCCTACGAGCAATAACTGCCGTATGCTTTATGAAAAATTGAAAAGCAATGACAGCCATCAGCTCGAAGAATAAGTAAACAACCCAGCGTTCCTGAGCCAGCTTCCAAATTTTCCATTTTCCAAGTTCATTTTTAAATGTTTTCACATCTGTCAACACTTATTTTCTGTCTGTTACAATCCTCAAATAAGTTTTCTTTCTTTTAAAAAGGTGTTTGACTAACAAATCCAAATGATATCCCTCTGAATCAAACACAATTATTTTCCTCCCGTGAAATACACAACTTTAAAAAATGGCTGCCGCTTACATTTAACAAAACCAGGTTTAATATAAATTCGCAGTAAGTATATTAACGTTAATATTATGGAAATTTCGTTTTAACTTGTTTTAAAGCATAAATAAATTGAAAATTTGTTTGTTTGTTTTGTAAGATGTAATTTTATTTCACCTCGTGAACTTTAAAAACAGTATTCTCAGTAATACTGTTTTTAAAGCCCACTCGATGAAATAAAATTTCATCTTACACACAAACAAACAAATATCCTCTATATCATGCAAAATTAAAATGTATTTGGTTTATGTAACTTTCGGTCTACTATGTTTATTTAACGTAAGCACGCGCATTTAACCAAATATATATTAATGTACATATATGTTGAATGCATAAAGTTTGATTTTCTTTTGTACAATTCATTACATGTATATTCGTACTCATGTATTTATCAATAAGTGTTATAAAGATACCAAAATTGTATAAGATGAGGCTATATTTAGAGCTACGGTGTATTTGGTTTTCTCTCTGTTGTTCATTTGGCAACATGTGATATAAAGATTATATGTGTTCTTTTATACTGAACAATCATCCTTCTTTTTATGTACCTTTTTATATTTTATAATTTAAATGCATTGTATGTTTGTTATTTGTTACAATATTTGATTTTCAAATTGACTTTCTTACAGTTGATGAGCATCTATGTACCTGTATAAAGATATTGTACAGGGTCACGAGTATTTAGTTAGATACTTTTATAAATAATATTTTCTTCACATTTTCATAAACAAAGTACATGTAAACAAAGGACTATATTTAACCGACATAAATTTCGAGTTAGCAATCTGTCCTTGAACTTGATTTTTTTTATGTTTGGCCATTGCACCGGCAGATAACTTGTAAGTCTTATACACACCGATATATGTTTTTCCTTGTTCACCATCTAAAATTTCCAAAATTTCATGGAATTTTATTTTACATTCATGCTCGATTTGAACAGTTTAAGTAAACTTTCTTTACAAATTGGTCATAAATGGCAGATATAGTTTTACCAATTCTTGAAATTTTGCTGAATCACTCGAATCGAATTTCGACAGAAAAAGAAGGCTTTGCTAATCTTGGTTCTGAATAAGCTGCTCTTGAAATAATCAAATTTTACAAATTCGTAGGTAAATAATTCGAAAACAGAAATATGCTCATGAATAGCTTACAATCAGGTTATAAGTTTTTCATTTACATTGACATGATCCATGGTAATCTAAGCTATTTCTTTCTTTTACTAAACATAAAATAATATCTTTTAATATCACACTGTGATTGATTTCACTTCTCCACTGAAAAGCATGTAATAAAATGGAAGCTCACTTCATTTGTATATTTTTAATAATTATTCTAGCACGCCTCACACTATTTCCGTGTCAAACAGATAGGGCAATCACTATCGTGAAAATATATCATCTGGATGTGGTGTTCACTCCGTGACTTACGATTTATATGCATAACAACCTAGGTATATCTGATATTTGGGAATCAACACATGTAAACGTTAAATGAGGATTTTTTTTTATGAATTGTTAGTCAATTGCTGTTCAACTTACTATTTTGTTTCCAATAAACTTCTTCAATGATGACTTGATTTGAATTTTAATTTTACCAACTTCATTCCGTAAGCACATTTATTTTTCCGACTATTACATTTAAAGCGTGTAAATTTGTAGTAGAATGAATTTGAAATCGAAATGTACGAAAGACCGGTGAGGACATTTCAACTTCATGAATTCCCGATTACAGCTTCATGAATTCTCGATTTCATCTACGCGAATTAACGATTCTATCTATCTACTTCACATGTAAACAAGGAACTATAGTTAAACGAACTCAATTAATTCATGACGTTGAAATCGTGAATTCGTGAAGTAGAAATCGTGAATTAGTGAAGTTGAAATAGTGAATTCATGAAGTTGAATTCGTGAATTCACGAAGTTGTATTCGTGAAGTTGAAATCGTGAATTCATGAAGTTGAAATAGTGAATTCATGAAGATGAAATCACGAATTCATGAAGTTGAAATCGTGAATTCGTGAAATTGAAATCGTGAATTCACCAAGTTGAATTCGTGACGTTGAAATCGCCAATTCATGCAGTTGAAATCGCAAATTCGCGAAGCTGAAATCGTGAATTCATGAAGTTGAAATCGTGAATTCGTTAAGTTGAAGTCGTAAATTCGTGAATTCCGGTTGTTGAAAACGGGAATTCACGAGGTTTAGATTGTGAATTAATGAAGATGAAATCGGGAATTCATGAAGTTGAAATGGCCCTACTGGTCTTTCGTAGAAATGTGTATTTAATGTGTTTACTGTATAGGTACCAAAATTTTGGAATTTTTCGGAAGACTTTCATGACCTTAATTATTTCAATATCGCTTTACACACATATAATATACAAAATGACAATGCCAAATACTTTAGAAATAAAAAGGACTGTAATTTTAAGACTTCTGTGGAAAACTTTAGCCATGTATCCGTCTGATTAATGCCCTTATATGTTTCCTGTTCTTACCGGTATTTTGAAGTTTTGGGTTACTGTGTTGAACATATTTAAAGGAACGAACAAGTCCATTTGTAATATTTAAGAGAGTTTATGGGAAACGACGTTGTGCTCGGGTGGGTTCAAAGATCAATAACATTAAATACCTGTTTTTATACGACCAATACACAAACATACACTTCAAATGGCAGAAAATTTTACACATTTACTATTTATAGTATTCTATTTCTGATATCAAGTTTTTGTTCTAACATTGCCACAACCTAATTGAAAATACACAGTATCACTTTGATAACATTAAACATTAGTAGGTTTCGTCCATGAAAATGAACTGATCGCCGACTGCTCCATCATACAACCTAACCTGGTCGTCTAAGATATCGTCTATGCATCGCTGATCTGACAATGTGCCTCTATTTAGCACAACCAGGTAGGTTCGTCCATCCCAGCTGATACCACCTTACCTTACACCATAACTGACCCATCTCTGTAGGACCAGGTTGCTCCAAGACTACCTAGAGAGTCATGGACTGGCCAAGGGTGCACCAGGACTACCTAGAGAGCCATGGACTGGCCAGCTCGTCCACCTGACTTAAATCCAATAGAACACTTGTGGAATGAGCTGCAGGTTAGAATTTCAGCTCGTCAGCTGCAACCCAGAACCATCCAAGAGCTGTTTGGATTCATGTTGGTCCAAGATTTGGCAGCCATGCGAACGATCAGAAACCTGTCAGTTGACGGGCCACACACATGGTATTATGTAAGTCTAAACCTGTAAACAAAAATCCAATTTAACAAATTTGAAAAACACGCTTTATGTTCTGAACTTTTCAAAGAGGGGGTCATCTTCTTCTCTAGCACAAAATCAGTGTAAACTTATTTATAGGGTTAAATTCGTCCTTCAGCTGAATTGATAAAACAGTAAATCAACATTTAAAACCTTGCGCACGGCGTTAATAAATTTATCCTTAAAACTATTCTCACTCAAACATAATTGAGCCGCCCCATGACAAAACCAACATAGTGCGTTTGCGACCAGCATAGATCCAGACCAGCCTGCCCGTCCGCGCAGTCTGATCAGGATCCATGCTGTTCGCGGTATCAGTTTCTAGGGTTGGAAAGTCGGCGCCGTTGCGAAGTGTCTGCCCCGTTGTCAAGACGATACAGAAAATAGACAAATTTGGACAAAACAAATTGACAGAATAAATGTTTAAATTGCACAGATGATTTTATACGTTTACTGTAATAAACAAGAGTATTTGTTTCAATATAAGTGTCTCTTGTAAGGAGATTGACTCAAAAATTTACCACTTCGCTCGGCCATATCATTCATATCATATGTTACATACATTGTGAACTTATTGATCTTATAGTGAATTTATTTTTACGTTACAAGCAAATATTCTTCTTTTACAATATAAAACGGATTTGTCTAAATACATTGAAAATAAAATGACACTTACCTTTTAGTTGTTTACCTTCCTCAATATTGGACCGAAGCACCGTATCATGGAAAATCTGCACCGTTTCACGTACCCGACAGTGTTGTAAGAACGACAACAAAATAACTATATTATATTATATATATTACTTCTCCAATTCATAAGGAATATCAATTAATTCATAATTATGTCTTTCATGCAAATATTTTGTATGTATTCTTTTCAAAATCAAAATTATGATTTTTGTAGTAGATATATAACTGTATACACTTTAATTAATTAAGTAAAAGTATATTAATTAATGAATCACTTCGTTACACTGGTAAAACATTACTACATACTACTACATTAATTTGATATTTCTCTAATAATTAAGTGTGTTATTAATTGTACAATTTTAATGAGTGAGAAAATAAACAAATTTATTAGCACTATATACCTCATATATAACTGGTCACATAAAAGGACGATATTCATGAATGAATATTAATTTTAAACTTGTTCTTATAATGTAAATCAATCGGAAAATCAGTAAGAGTGTGAGGCATAACTCGTGAAGGCCTGTTTCCTCAATGAAAACCATATCTACCTCCCGTGGTAAGTATTGCACAACAACGTATATCATGTTTATATAGGTTATTTGGTAGCAAATTTGCCAAGTGGCTTTATTGGTTGGTTACTTCGTTCTCACGACCTTTTGGTTATGACACTTTATGTGTGTGGGTTCGAAACCCATGAACCGCCAATGCCATCCACTAATTTTTTTAATTTTTTTTTTAGATCTTATAACCTTTAATATTGAAAATATTATTGAATCAAAGTACTTTGTGTACCACAGGCGCTCGGCGCGTTGGACACTATCTAACCAGCGCCGTAGTTATGTTTAGGCACACCGAGGCACACGCATATAAATGAAGAATTGGACCGCTGTAAAAAAAGATTTAAAAAAAAAAGATATGGAATCTAGTAACCAGAGATGTAGACTATTTATACTAAATTGTGGTAGTAGGCTAAAACTTATATTATGGCAAGCATTATAATTAAGTTTATTATGAAAACTATATAATTCCAGTTGTTGCTGATTGCAATTATATTAAAATTAATATATTTTTATTATTTTAAGATTGTTTTTCATCGGCTATTCTTACAGGCATCGTAAATAAAAAAATTCAAATTTGTAACTTACGGCAATTATTCCCAGTGGGGTATCTGTTAACTTCATTGTGTATTGGGAGGATTTTCTTGCATTTAATCAATTTCAATGCACTTTAAGTGATTTTTGTTTGAAAAATTGCTCCAAAGAATGATTTTTGAATTATACATAATTAAGTTTCCGATTTTCTGTGCGTATTTTTAACCTCTTGCGGCAGTCTTGCCTAAGTTTCTGTACGTGAATTTTGACATTTATGCGTAAAATACTTAAATGCCATGTTACTTCCCCATACAGCAGTGTCGGCAGTAAGGGTAGAGTACGATATGTAAACGGGTCATATTTTGGGCATATGCGCACGGCTTATTTGTACGGTGTTCCGTTTGCACCCTAGTGTTGTTTTTTTTTATTTCGGGATGCACGATGTTACGATAGTGAAAACACGATGGTACGATAATGAAAACGCGATGGTACGATGATGAAAACGCGATGGTACATTGGTGAAATCGCAATGACACGATGGTGAAAACGCGATAGTACGATAGTGAAAGCGCGATGGCACGAGGAGGAAAACGCGATGGTACGATGATGAAACGGCGATGGTAAGATGGTGAAAATGCGATGGTACGATAGTGAAACGCGATGGTACGATGAGGAAAACGCGATGGTACGATGATGAAAACACGATGGTGAAAACGCGATGGCACGATGGTGAAATCGCGATGGTACGATGGTGAAAACGCGATGGTACGATGGTGAAAGCGCGATGGTACGATGACGAAAATGCGATGGTACGATGATGAAAACACGATGGCGAAAACGCGAAGGCACGATGGTGAAATCGCGATAACGCGATGGTACGATGGTAAAAACGCGATGACACGATGGTGAAAACGCGATGGTACGATGGTGAAAACACGATGGTGAAAACACAATGGTACGATAATGAAAACGCGATGGTACGATGATGAAAACGCGATGGTACATTGGTGAAATCGCGATGACACTATGGTGAAAACGCGATAGTACGATAGTGAAAGCGCGATGGCACTTGGAGGAAAACGCGATGGTACGATGATGAAACGGCGATGGTAAGATGGTGAAAATGCGATGGTACGATAGTGAAACGCGATGACGCGATGGTGAAAACGCCATGGTACGATGAGTAAAACTCGATGGTACGATGATGAAAACACGATGGTGAAAACGCGATGGCACGATGGTGAAATCGCGATGGTACGATGGTGAAAACGCGATGACACGATGGTGAAAACGCGATGGTACGATGGTGAAAGCGCGATGGTACGATGACGAAAATGCGATGGTACGATGATGAAAACACGATGGTGAAAACGCGAAGGCACGATGGTGAAATCGCGATAACGCGATGGTATGATGGTAAAAACGCGATGACACGATGGTGAAAACGCGATGGTACGATGGTGAAAACACGATGGTGAAACGCGATGGCACGATGGTGAAAGCTCGATGGTACGTTGATGAAAACACGATCGCACGATGGTGAAAACACGATGGTACATTGGTGAAATCGCGATTGCACGGTGATGAAAACGCGATAGTACGATAGTGAAAGCGCGATGGCACTTGGAGGAAAACGCGATGGTACGATGATGAAACGGCGATGGTAAGATGGTGAAAATGCGATGGTACGATAGTGAAACGCGATGACGCGATGGTGAAAACGCCATGGTACGATGAGTAAAACTCGATGGTACGATGATGAAAACACGATGGTGAAAACGCGATGGCACGATGGTGAATTCGCGATGGTACGATGGTGAAAACGCGATGACACGATGGTGAAAACGCGATGGTACGATGGTGAAAGCGCGATGGTACGATGACGAAAATGCGATGGTACGATGATGAAAACACGATGGTGAAAACGCGAAGGCACGATGGTGAAATCGCGATAACGCGATGGTATGATGGTAAAAACGCGATGACACGATGGTGAAAACGCGATGGTACGATGGTGAAAACACGATGGTGAAACGCGATGGCACGATGGTGAAAGCTCGATGGTACGTTGATGAAAACACGATCGCACGATGGTGAAAACACGATGGTACGATGGTGAAAACGCGATTGCACGGTGGTGAAAACGCGATGATGAAAGCGCGATGGTACGATAGTGAAAGCGCGATGACACGGTGATGAAAACGCGATGGTTCATTGGTGAAATCGCGATGACGAGATGGTACGATGGTGAAAACGCGATGGCACGATGGAGAAAACGCGATGGTAAACTGGTGCCTCATAACAACAAAAGTTAAGAGGATAAAATTCTTGAAAACACAGTGAATACTGTATAGGATAGACATGTCAATTGCATCATAGTTTATCCCATTTAATGTTTGCATGTAAGCAATTATTTATACAACATTGTAATTAACACCCATCTGCTGCCTTGAGAGTAAATTTATGTTCTCATATTTCCAAGGCAATAACATTTTAACAGTTTCAATAGCAAAACCGATAGTAAACTTTATTTATTTGTACACCTTTACCTAGGCTCATCTGAAAGGGGCGATTTTCATACCTCAATGGTTGTTTAACAAAGAAGATTTTCTTAAAAATGTATGAAATCTAAAAGAAAAATGGTGAAATATTAAATAACTTTGCTCTTAATCTGAATAAAATATTGTTTTTAGTTCTTTATGTAGATCTGACATTTCGATAAAAATACAATAATTTAAAATAGTAAAAGTAAAACATTAAGTCTATGAGGTACTTCAGACTGTTTAAGCCTGATACCTTGGAAATAAGGGTACCAAGGAAATACGAGGCACCAGTATACGATGGTGAAAATATATACTAATGTAAACGGATGCTGGATAGTAATTTTGTTCTTGAGGGTGATTATTTTATGATAATTTGACCATAACTGGCATGGCAAATGTGCCGTACGCCTGTTATTTTGGGTACAGTACAGTACAGTTTTTGATAAATAGAGGATAATGAATGAGTTTTAATTCAATACTAAATTTATATTGAACTCATTGAATGCTCGTCTCTCTCGTGACGAAGTAGAAAATATATTCACCTTTCAAAATAAGCCGCCTTTGGTACTTCCAGATAACGCGAACGAGAGAAAACGAGAATACATAAAACTGACGACAATGGGATCATGGCGACTTTAAGACACTTTACGTTATTGTTTTTATTCAAGAACTCATTCTAGCAATATCCAGGTACATACCTGCAATATCCGATCAGCAGTTTAGAGTAGTCTCTTCAAGACGACGTGGTTACTTCCCTTTTATTGGGAAACGTCATTAAAATGCTGTACGGTCAACCGTTTACGAGATTTTTGTGTGTGTGAATCCAGGAAAATGATCAAAGTTTATATTCGTTCCAAATTTTTTTACAATGTTATCATCTCCTTTATGTAAAAAAAGTCGCTTTTAATTAAACTCATTTTGAAAATCTATCATGGTACTTGGTAGTTCTACTTAACGTTAATAGGAAAATATTTAAACACTGTTAAATTTTTTTTCTTCTTCATGAGTGATCCTTTTCCAAAACTGTGTGTCAAAAATTTATTTCAAAATATCCAATTAAAATGTCATTTTTAATCTATTACCATTGTCTGCCATTTTGGGTGATTTCAGTGGAGGTAGTCCAACTACTGCGCGACTAGTCTCAATATTTTAACTGCAAGACCAACCGATTTTATATAGATCTCTGTCTCTGGGCGACCATCATCTATATAATAAAAAGCCCTAAAGCTCACAATTTGTTGGGCTACTGTGCGACAAGATATTTGGGCGGCATGAAGTACCCAAATATACCCAAATATTGCCTAAATATTATATGTTATTTTGGTTTTGGAGTGATATATGACATATAGTGGATATATTACCTGTCAAGATTTTATATCACCCGAGCCGTTAGGCGAGGATGATATTTTATCTTGGCAGGTAATGTATCCACATATATCACTCCAAAACCAAAATAATAATTTTATTACCCTTCCCCTGCCGAGTTTAGAAGATTTTAAAATAAATCATTGAGCACTACTTCAAATGAAACGTGGAAATAAGATTCCCTTTAGGGTACCCCTTCACCACAAAATGATGTCACATAAATACATGACGTAGTTTCTTTCGAACCTAACAAATGTAAACAAGAGAAAAGGAGTAGTCTGTTGAACACACTTTTTTGGAAATAATATCAAGCTTTCACAAGGTCATATTTGTTTTCAATACTGATGAGAATATGTATCATTACTCTATTTTGGTAAATATTTATCATTTGACAGTTAAAAAGTGCTTGTAAATCGGAATTTACATCGCGTAAAATCAGACCGTACGCGCATCGCCACAGCGCATGTTGTTTACAACTTTGGGTATCCAACGGGGAAATTTAGTGTGTGTTTATTACCCGTCTGGCTCGGTAATATCAATTTCTTTCAGGTGATAATATCCAATCAAAAAGGCGGAAAAATTCTGGAAGGGTAATAAACCCAAATATAGGCCAAATATCACATATATATAAACTTAAAGTAAGATATGACTTAAAAACAGAATGTACAATGACTTAAAATACTAGATTTTACTCGAACATGAGGCCGAGATATTGTTCTATTTTCGTGTGTGGGCAATATCTCACTCTTAAAGCGAGATTTTCTGACCCAGTATGAAAATATCTCGGAATCAAACTTTGGTCCGTCAATATATTTTGACAATCAGAGGAGGTTACTAGGGTATCATGGTAATCCCAAAAAATTATGGAACAATAGATGGGTCAAAATCTTCAAATTAAGCTTTGGAAAACTTCCAGCAGTTAACTTGCTATAAAATTCAAACTATACAAATAGATAATATGTCAGTATTACATAAATTTAATTGACTGAAAAAGCAATTAAGGGAAATAGAACTGGTTGAGGACCACCAGAACCTGGACAACCACCAAACCTGGATGGCCCTGAAAATGTCTGATTTACATTTTTTCTTTGTTCAGTGGTTTGCGATCAATCAGTCATTTTTATCAAGAATAAATGCATATTTCTTCTAATTAAATTTATTTCAAATCTCGTAAACATATTTATATGTCTATTTCAAGTATGTTGACATTCAAAATTTTGACATAGAGTGCAATAACTGACCTCTTATACCAGCTATAATCATTTGCAAAGTAAACAATGGAACATCCAAAACTTCAGCATTTTATGGTTGCTGATTTGGAATACTTTTGTGCAGCGTGTTGTTGCTTGCAACAGCACAACAAAGCGCCAGATGGTGCATTGTCGCACTGTTGTCTTGCTGTCATGTCGCTAACGAAGAACACCAAACGGCACAGTGTTGTTCGGCATGTTGTTGCGATGGCACATTGTCGCTCAGCTCAAATTGGATTGGCCATTTGTATATATATATATATATATATAAGGCCATCCTTAAACAAATGTTTGTTTGCAGTAACCCGACCCAGAATTTTTAAGGTGGGTAGGTAGGTTGATTTTTTTTTTTTTTTTTTTTTATTATTGAACTGTACTCCCAAATAAAAATGGAATTTCAAAATGCTGGACAATATATGCTTGATAAACTGGTAACAATTGATAACTGAATTCTAATTTAATAAGAACTACATTTTATTTCTTCTATTAACCTTTAAAAGAACAAAAACAAAGCACAAGGCATAATTTTCTGATTCAAAAAAAAAATTTTTTATCCAGACCATGAAAAAAAAATTTGAGTAGGGGCAAATTTTGTGAGTCGGTCGCGTTACTGCAAACAAACATTTTTTTAAGGATGGCCTAAGCCAAGCAACATGACGACATCCCAAAATGCAGACAACGACAACGCGCCATTTGGCATGCTTCGCTAGCGGCAGGACAACAAGACGATCTGGGCAAATAGCTACAAAACAACAAGAAGAAAAGGTGATAATGATATAGGTTGTGTTGTCGCTATTGACAACACAACATACAAAGTGTACCAAATCAGGCATTTGCTGCTGAGATATTGTATATCATGTTAAAATAAAAAATAAAACACCCAAGCTTTTGAAGAATTAATTCATTGGCATGTACATATCTGTCTGGACACATGGTACTGAAGTGTGGACAATTTAGGTAATTTTGATCCCCTCCATGATGGGCCTTAGATACAATTGTCAACATAATAAGAAAGAAACAAACTAGTTTTTAGTTAGGAGAAGAACCTAGCTGTATCATGATGATGTTATGATGTATGTCAAATTTCCAGATCTCTAGCTTTAATTATATAAAATCTGTATGGAAAAATGTTCAAAAAGTATCTGGTTGATGGTTCCCGACCAGTAGTGCTGTTCTACCTATATAAATGGATAAATGGATTGATTATGTTCAACCTTGGAGTGAAGCATTTAGAGTGTTCCAAAAATCTTGCCTGACATTTTTTTAAATTTTAAATCTTTAATCAGAAATGTGTTCATCCCCTGCAAATTGAATAAGGAGGGAGAAACTTAATTAAACAGAACTAATTTCTAAACTTAATCAAACTTACATCTAAGTAAAGAAATTTAAGGTATTTACAGTTATATTGATCCTATTTGATGTTTTCTGTATCACACATCCAGTCATAAGACTCTGAAAATCTTTATTGCTGATGTAAACAACTAGGTAGTTCCGGCTGTCACATGGGAAATTGTGTCTACAGATTCATTTCTGTCTGTCTTTCATTCTGTCCATCCAGAGAAAACTGGATCCTGCCATAACTCAGAACATACTAAAGCTAGGTTGATGATACTTGGTGTATGGCTAGAGGGTCATATGGTGATTATGCATGTCATATTCATGTTTTTCATCAGTGAAAAACATTTGGTTGCTATTGTTATATAAACATTAAAATTTGGATACTTAACTGTCATTCTGTGATTTAACTCAAAAAGTTTACATTTGTTCCAAAAATTATGTCAATTTCCTTAAAATTTCATATGGAAAATTTCCTAATTATGTGTTGACTCTAAAAGATCTGAGACAAATTCTTTCAAGTCAGAATCCACATTAATATGGGTTGAGGTAGGGAATCAGACAACATTACATGGGTAGGGGACTGCTGCATTGTCTGTGACAAGCTCTTGTTATAATGTTCATTTGTAAGTCAAAAGTCACCTTTTATTTACTGGTTAGTCATTTTTACATATTTACTATATTATTATAGCATATTATGGATGAAGCCTGCCGTATACTTCTGATAGAGCCATTCTGTGCTGGTTCACACAAACAGTTGATTGACCTTCTACACAAGGAAATTCCTGGCACACAACTTCATAGCTTACCTGGCAAGAAATGGCATTGGAAAGCCAGAACATCAGCTTTATGGTTTAGTCAAGTTATTCCAAGAGATCACAATTTTAGGTAAAATAATTTCTTAATATGATTCTGAAAGGTATTTAAAACAACAAGTTTTAAAATTTATTTTAAGAAATTTCTTCTTTCTATATTTGTGTAGACTTGATCTCAAGTTTTAGTTTAAGATTTCATATGTAGTTTGTTTTCTAGAAAGTATGTATATAGACTGTGCTAACAATATTCAAATTCCTTTATGAAATGAACAATTCTACGAGTTGGTAATGCGATTTTATGGTGTATGTTGTTTTTTATAGGACACTTTTTGCAAGCTCAGTTTTGAATTTGGCAGAACTTGTTGCTATTAGACAAGATTTAGCTGTGTTACACAAAGTGGTTTATTTCCATGAGAATCAGATGATATACCCTGTAAGGAAGCAGCAAGATAGAGATTTTCAGTTTGGTTATAATGAAATTCTCACATGGTAAGAAAGCAAGATAATTATCACTTGATTTTTTAATGTCACTGCAGCATATGTGATGCGGGTGGCATATTGCATTTCACCTGTGAATGTGTATGTTTTGAGATCTTTTTTAAGGATCATTTTCTAAACTGTTCCAAGCAACACCTAATTTAATTTTAAGTTTTTGTTTGTTTGTTTTTAGCTCCCCTATATGAAGTATATGGAGAGCTGTCCTACTCACCCCGGCGTCTGCGTCCGCCTCCAGATTTCAGATTAAAGTTTTGGTGCAGTAAAATATTTTTCACTATTACTTTGTCATTGCTTAAGGCATCAACTTCAAATATATGTTCCTTATCATCAACCACATCTTATGTGACAAGGTTAATAACTGTAGCACCAATATTTTCATATTTATCTCCCCTTGAACTTAGAATTATCCTTAAAAAATACTATTTTTACTGTTACTTCTTTATTTCTGAAGGGATCAACTTCATACTTCAAATATATGTACCTTATCACCAACCTCGTCTTATATGACAAGGTTTTTAACTCTAGCACCAATATTTTCAGATTTATTTCCCCTTGAACTTAGAATTTTCCCTAAAAAATATAGTTTTTTACTGTTACTTATTCATTTCTTAAGGGATTAACTTCATACTTCAAATATATGTACCTTATCATTAACCACATGTTATATGACAAGGTTCATAACTATAGCACCAATATTGCAAGAATTATCTCCCCATAAACTTAGATTTTTTTCTTGAAAAATGTTTTTTACTATAACTTTTTTAGTTTTTAAGGTATCTACCTCAAACTTCAAATACTTATTTGTTATCATCAATTACATTTTATGTGACAAGGTTCATAACTCTTGAAGCAATATTTACAGATTTATCTCTCTTTGAACTAAGGATTTTCTTTAAGAGATATTATAACTTCTTTACTTTTTAAGGTACTTAAAACTTCAAATATATATTTCTTATCATTACAAACATGTTGTGTGACAAGGTTCATAACTCTAGTGTGACTATTTCCAGAATTATTCCCCTTGATTTTGGAATTTATGTTAACAATGCAATTTTTTTTACTATAACTTAATACATAATTATACATAATTGTTTTTTCTTTCATAGTTTTGTCTTCCTTACTGCATCCAGTATTTTATTAGATGAGCCTTGCTGTCTCCTGTGACAGCTCTTGTTTTCTTTGTCATAGTGCAAAAGTAATTTGCGACATATTTTATTCTATATTTCTTATGTGTATAATAGAAATTTTCTTTATTGGAAGAATAGCAAAATGTATTTAATGTTGAGTTACACACTTCTGGTAGTGCAAAAAACTTAAAAGTAGGACAGTGATGAGTTAATTTTTTATCAATATCTTTCAATCATGATTTTCTTTGAACTCTATGCTAGTTTTGAATTGTCCTTCTTTTGAAAAATAACTTAAATTCCAAGTAGAGCCCTAATATACCTTAAAAAATATAGATATATAAGTTCTGACCAGAATTGAATGTTAAAGAAAGTTGGTGATTCCTTACATTTTACAGGGGAGATTACTCAGCTACCTAGGCTAGTTATAATGAACCCCTTAGTCATAGTTAGTTAATATAAAAATATTGAAATTGGATACAAACCCATGTACATGTACAGTCAAGCCAGTGCTAACCAGGCTGTTCTTGTTGGTAGCAGTATTGTTGGTAGAATTCAGAGAATTCAGAAGTTTTATTTTATTCAATATTAATAGAACAAGATAAAGATTAGTCACAATATATATAACAGATTGGTTTTAGTTTGGCAATTACTAAATACATTGAAATAATATGTAAGATTTGTTTTTTATATCAGAGACAAATCTGATACTTGTTTTATTTTCAGCATGGTTGCCGATGTTGTCCTATTTAACTCAAAATACAACATGGACTCTTTTTTGAGCAACATAAATTCGCACCTGAAGCTGATTCGAGACCATAGACCTAAAACATTAGTGGAGCAGATCACACCAAAATGTCATGTTTTACATTTTCCAATTATTTTTCCTGAAACTGTGAATAAGTCAGCAACAAATAAATCAATAAGTAATAAAGATAGTAATACGTGTACAAGTAATACACAATTATTGGGGTGTAACGTAAAGAATGAGAACACTGAAACAAAGTTGAACATTGATAAGTCTTTTAAAAAGACTGGAGACAAAAGGGAGAAGGAATTTACCAAATGTTGTCAAAAGATTTTAATTGAGAATTCAGATTTTGGAAAGGAGGGTTCATGTTCTGAAACATTAAGTCAAAACTCCAGAACAAGAGGAGATATTGCAGTTGGAAATGATCATTTAACATTTACAGATTGTGCAGTTGATGCTGATGGCAGTGATACCTTTGATGTAATATACATTTTTTACATAATCTGCAACATTTCTAATATATGCTATTCATAATCCTATTAATTTTGCTACAGAAATAAAGATGCTCCTGAACTTGCCAAATGTGGGTTTTCCACCATCAAATCCTGAGGTACAAATAAGTTACACATTAATTAAGTATTTCAAAAATAACCACAACATACTGATTACTCAATTGTGAATGGTTGTGCTCCTTGAAGCCATAATGGTAAGAGTCTGTTTGTACCCTTGGAGAAAATGGGAAAAACCAACTTGCCAAGTTCTAGATAAGATCTATTATGATTTGGCTACAAGATTTTTGGCACGTTATGCTGTGTTATGAAGTCAGAAATTCACACAGATATGAATAACAAAATTTTCAATCAGGGTCAACCCTGAATCCATCCTTATAACTAACTCCAAAATACATCTTTACATTAATGTGCCATGAACAACACCAACCCCTATCTCCAAAGGTAAAGGTCACACTTGGAGATCAAAGTTCAACATAAGGGTTTATTTTATGTCTGGTCCATCACTTTTTCATCCATTTAGAGATTTTTTTTAAAAAAAAACTTGGCACAAATGTTTATTATGATAAGATGATGTGTCATGCCCAAGACCAGGTTCTGGTCTCTAAGGTCAAGGTCACACTTAAAGGTCAAAGCTTGAAATTGCCTGTAATATGGTCTGTATTGTAAATGGTAAACAACTTCCCCATTCATCAAAGAGTTTTGAAATAAGTTTGCACAAATATAAACCATATTAAGATAATGTGTCATGCAAAACACCAAAATCCCTACCATTAAGGTCAAGTTCACACTTAAATGTCAGAGGTTAACATCAGCTGTATTTTCCTTGTCCATAGAATAACTACAAGTATTAAAGAGTTCCTATTAAAACAAATATAAACAGATAACAGTGAAAAGCAGTGCAATGTAAAAAACCATAACTCTATCTTTAATAATTATCTCCCTTTTAATATGTACTTATTTTCAGTGGTAAGAACTTCAAAAATGCATTTCTGTTGACACGTACACATGAGTCATTTCATTTTATTTCTATAATTTATTTATTATTGTATGTACAGATCTAGCATTTATCAAGATTTTGTACTGAAAGTCCAAATACATACATGCACCTCAAACATTAGACATGCAATTGTGTGCATCATGTAAAACATCTGAATTACTAACATGATTTAATTATTGAAATTCAACTGATGTAGTTGTTGTTAACCTTAAACCAAATATACTGGTTGTTGACCTGAGAAGAAGGGATATCATGTTCTCGTATTGAATGTACAAGCAGAAACAAATCAACAGATCAGAGAACTTGAACATCTATGTAAGCTGTACCAAACCATGTTTCTTTCTTTTTTTTACAGGAAACACCTTTGAAAAAAAGTAAAACAACAGTTCAAACAGGACCTTTGCATATTGTTTGGCCTCACAGATGGTGAGTGTAAATTTTTAAGAATAAACCTCATAATTTTAATGGAGTCATCTACACTTGCAGACTTTTATATAAAATCTAGATTATAATGCAATAGGTTTTCATCTACATGATTTATATTGAAAATATATATTGATTATATTACTAATAAAATGCAGGCCACTTCGACTTTTAAATTTCTACATGTAAACCTAACTCCACAAGTCCCTGTCATAAACTCTTCATTACAAATAAAGTGGGAAGAAGCACATATAAATTTTGGTCACAAACTTTGGCACCAACAGAACAGAATACCCTCCTTTTCAACATACCGGAACCAATATCACCTATATATGAACCTTCAAAACTAACAGACAACAACACAACCCTGTTACAAGATGAATTGGGACAATTAAACAATGAAAATGAAAAGATCATAAACGTTTGTTCTATTTATAATATTTTTCATATTATATAATAACAAGTGTAATTGCAAAAGTTCAACAATTCTGGAACACTGCCAATTAATTTTGGCTAATATCCAAAACGTAACTATAATTAGTAACAAATTTTCTATATTTAGTAACATCTGACAAAAAGTGTACCGTCTTTTTTAATACCTTAGCTCTATAATTTGTAAAGTTTAAATTGATAACCTGATGAAGGAAATGTAGTACCCGAAATTGGTAGTTTAAATGAATATATAAACTGACCTGGTGTTTTGATGTGTTATTCTCCCCTCCCAATCTTTTAATTTATTGTATAATTAAAGATAACAAGAAATGTCAAACGACACATATGCCCCCCCCCCCCCCCCCTTACTTTTAGCCCTTGACTCACATTATTGGTTATTTTGTTAAAAAAAAAAATTGCCATAAATGGGTACATGGAAGTGTACAGTTATGGAAAAAAGAAAAAATAATGAAGACTTTGTGACAGCTTTCAAGATAATGAGCGGAAACCATTCTGACATTTAAGGCCCCTATGACCTTGACCTTTGAACTAGTGCCCAAAAATCAATAGGGGTCATCTAATAGTTATGTCCAATCAATATTAGAAATATGAATACTTTGTGATAAATAGCTTTCAAGATAATGTGCAGAAACCATACTACCATTCAAGAACCCTGTGACCTTGACATTTGACCTAGTGACCCCAAAATCAATAGGGGTCACTAACTAGTTATGACCAATCAGTGTGTGAAATATGAAGACTTTGTGATAAATAGTTTTCAAGATAATTAGCGGAAACCATTCTGACATTTAAGGCCCCTGTGACCTTGACCTTTGAACTTGTGACCCAAAAGCAGTAAGGGTCATCTACTTGTTATAACCAGTCACTGTGTGAAATATGAGGATTTTGTGATAATCAGCTTTCAAGATAATGAGCTGAAATCATACTACCATTCAAGTACCCTTGACCTTGACCATAGACCTGGTGGCACCAAAATCAATAGGGGTTTTCTACTAGTTTTGACAATCAATATGTGAAATATGAAGACTTTGTGATAAATAGATACCAAGATAATGAGGGGAAAGCATTTTAACATTTATGGCCCCTGTGACCTTGACCTTTGACCTGGTGACACCAAAATCAATAGGGGTCATCTACTAGTTACAACCACTCAATATGTTAAACATGAAGACTTTGTGATAAATAGTAACCAAGATAATCAGCAGAAAGCATACTACCATTCAAGACCTATGACCTAGTGACCCTAAAATCAATAGGGGTCATCTACTAGTTATGACCAATCAGAATGTGAAATATGAAGATTTTGTGGACGGTAACTTGCACTTTCCAGTACCGTCCATGATCAGGCTTAATCAAACCAAGCCTGCAACATTTTACAATTTTGCAGTGTTGGGCTTTCTTTAGGGATTCTGTTTTTCTCTATTTTGTGATAAATAGTAACCAAGAAAATGAGCAAAAACCTTTCTGACATAGTTATGACCAATCAATATGTGAAATATGGAGACTTTGTGATTAATAGTAACCAAGATAATGAGTGTAAACCATTTTGTTTGTGATAAATAGTTTTCAAGATAATCAGCAGAAATCATGTGGTATACCGACGGACAGACCGACATTAGCAAAACAATATACCCCCTCTTCTTTGAAGAGTGTTATAAAAACTTCATTAATTGAGTTTGTTTGTCCCCCCCCCCCCCCCCAATTAGCTGGGAAAACCCAAAATATTTTTTAATCCAGATAAAGTCTATTCAAAGAAAATTGTAAATGACAAACACATTAATTTACCAAAATATGTTTTCTAGGTAACACAACTCAAAATTCCTTTAATTAAGATTTGTGTCTGGTATCATCTGATAGTTCACCATCAAATTAGAATTTATTTGGAATCAGATATCAATGTTTGGATAGAAAGCTTATGTGGAGACCCTGGCTGGTAATGCTTTTGGGCCCCCTAGGGTTAAGGTCAAGGTCACTCTTAGTAAAAATAGAAAAATGGTTTCTGGATGATAACTGGGGTTACATGTAGGAATGAGATACTGTAATCAAAGTTTGTACAGTATTCAGCAAATTTACTAGAGTGAGGAATGATGTATAATAATCAAACTTTGTATATAGCAAGCTTATGTGTAATCTATAGGGTCAAGGTCACATACTAAAAGTAGACGATAACTACAGCAACATTTGAAATATTGTAATCAAAGTGGTACATAGCAAGTGTATATAGCAAGCTTATGTAGAAACATTACTTGGGATTGCTTTTGGTCCCCCTAGGGTACAAATCAAGGTCACTGACTTACTCTACTAACATAAGAAACATGGTTTCCAGACATACATTAAACATGTGAATGAGATATTGGCATCACAAACTTGATATATACATTTATCAACTTCATGTGGAGACCAGGCTTGCGATTGCTTTTGGTTAAGTTCAAAGTTTCTTTCAGAACACTAATATTTTCTTTTCACACAGGTTTGATCTTTCTTGTCTTTGTTTTCTTTTACAAACAAATGTTTCCTTGATAAAACATCCTTGAATACAGGTCAAGTTGGAATATTTTGCCTGTCCACTAATTTTACACATAGTTAAGGTTCATTCTTGTTGTTTCATTTTTATAAAAAAAAAAACCTCTCTGTTTCCCAATGATTACTCTTTAATGAGTAGATTGTAATAATTTTTATACATAAAAGTTATACGATAATTATAAAGGTTTAATTCAAATTTAGCTTCCTGATGTCTGTAATTATTTCCCTGTTGTTGGTTATATATATGTATATAATGTATATTTGTATTGCAGGGAGCATGACAAAGATCCAGAGATGTTTTTTAAGGTACTGACACAATTACATAATGATGGTCTAGACTTTAGAATATCTGTGTTGGGAGAAATGTACTCTGAAGTACCTGGTAACTGTTTTTATTTCCTATTGTACACTAGTTTCATTATTATGCCCCCAAGAATGGGGAGGTACATATTTTTTTTGCATTATCTGACCATCCTTCAGTCCATTCTAACTCTGTGTACAGTCATTTGTCATTTATAGATGGATTTTAAAATTATTTTGTATAAATGATTAGGACAATGTGTCATGGACAAGATCTAGATCTCTAGCTTGACTCCAAAGGAAATTTTGAATAAAATTGCACTGATGTCCATATCTGGTCAAAAATACTGTCTTTCCTGGATGGATTTAAAAACTGCTATGCTGCACATTAAGGAAAATACTACATTACTAGTATGGTGTCTGAAATGCATAATGACCTAGATAAAGGTCATAATAGCTTGTTTTCTTTATATAGTAACATATAGGTATTAATATGTTTCATTGTTTGCTCAACAATTGGAAGAATATAGAGAGCTATTCTCACTCAGGCATCACATCTTTGGTTAACATTTTGCATGTAAGTTGGTATCTCCAAAACTGCTGAAGGGAATAGGTTGAAACTTCACACACTTATTTGAGAGCATAATAGGAGAACATTGTTCAAGCCCTAAATCTTACGTGGATTTTGACAGACTTATGGCTCTTTTTTAACTTAAAAAATTCTACATTATCCAGGGTCTTGTTTTTCTATTAAGCACTGAGAATAGTTGAGCATGCTATCCTACTGACAGCTCTTGTTTAATATATTGTTAAAGTTTTTCAACCCTTTCAGAAATATTTGAGGAGAGTAAAGTTATATTACAAGAGAAGATAGCAAACTGGGGTTTTTTACCATCCAAACAAGATTATTATCTAGTTCTACAGAGTGCGGATTGTGTTGTATCAACTGCCAAACATGAATTCTTTGGTGTGGCAATGTAAGATCTGATATAAATATTTCGAGATATATAAAAAGTTAACCTATTCATAACTTTAAAAAAAGTACATGTATATGAATAGTAAATTTTTTTCTGTTCACGGTACAGTTATTTTATTGGGATGCATAATTGTTTCATTTATTTATCATTGACTACTGTTTTATTTCATGATTTATGCTTTAGTTTGTGGAAGTTTTCAATGACTATTTTGACAACAGATGAGGACAGGTTTTGAAAGTGAACACATTTTGGAATGATTATCTTGCTAAATATCTGATCAGATAAACAATTTAAAACTAGGGCCTATATGAAAGCAAATATCTAAATCATGAAGTGTTTGGCTCATCAAATAATTAAATGGCTATTTAGTTGAAGGGGTTTGCTCCTTTTAATGTAATTTAATGTAAAGATAAAGATTATGATAATAACATTTTAGAAATGTTTCCTTCCCTTACATACTGTATGTTTTTTAAATCAAAAACAAGGAACTAATACAATGTTATAGCTGATCTGAGCCACAAGCTCATAGTGAGCTGTTAGGTTTGATAAAAGTCCATAGTCTGTCATCCGCCCACACCCACTTTGTGAACACTCTAGTGGTCACAATTTTGACTCTATCAACTCAATATTTGGTCAGGATATATGTCCTTGTATTTACTTGACTAAGTTTGAATATGAGTCATCTCAGATGAAACACAAGTTCACATAACCCAAAAATAGTAAAATCTAAATGCTACTTTTCTTGAAATTTGTCAGAAATGGTTGTTATATTGATTTCTTGTTGATTCAGTTGTAAGAAATGTATAGTATTCTTAAGTAAACATTTGGCATATTCAGAGTTCAAAATGAGTTAAAACGTTTGAAAAAAATATTGCAATAATGAAAGGCAAGGCTTCTTTCCATTAATTGAGAAGATGACTTGGCCTTTTTGAACCACAATTTTTCTTAAAATGTTTTAGCATTACTTCCTTAAATTGTGAAAAATGAAGCATGGTACTGTCAAAATTTATGAAAAACAGTTAATAATTGAAGTCTCTTTACTAGGATCATGGGTGCTGAACTTGAAACAATCTGCTCAACAAGATAGCTATACATATGAAAGAAATTTTAAACAAACATCTCATTTGCAAAGCAAATTTTAAATAAGTTCATCAGAAATTACCTTTGAGTTGCGAAAACATTATAAGTCTGATAAACATCATTGGTGCCTGTATGCTAAAAACATGAAAAATAGTTTTATCATATCACCTCCTCATCATTTTACCTGTTTTTAATAGTACTATTACCATGTTTATATTTATTATAATAATAATATCTGATTCCTGTGTATCATATACTCAGGTGGGTTAATAAGGGCCGTCATTTCTCTCTTGTTTTTAAACTTTTTGGATATAAGAAAAAGTCAGCAGTGGCTCTTGTCTTGTCAGGTTAGAAGCTGTTCATCTTGGTTGCTATCCATTGTGTCCAAACCAGCTTGTATATCCGGAGATATTTCCAAGTCAGTATAATGCTTATATTATCTTCATCATAGTTTCTTCATTTTGTAAGATAATAAACAGAAAGCAATTATATAAAAGGTATCACTCACTGTAAATAAAAGATCTATTAGTGTTTCTTTAAATAAGTCACTATATTATGATATGATTCAAACATATATATTAATAATAATCAAATGTTCAGTAAGTGTTACACTATTTTCTCTTTTATTTATTGTTATATAAGATGCAGGTGTTTTCTTTGCTAATTTACTGAACTAAATTGTTATGAGGAGTGTTGAACTTTGTGAAACATAATATTAATTGGGGTATAACCTAGTTCTTTTATATCTGTATTTATAAGCAGCATCCTTACATAATAAAAAGTTAAACACATATAAATCCTTCATTGATGCTTTAAAATAATGCAATTTGTATATGTAATTTTCAGAGGAGTGTTTGTATAATACAGAACAACAGCTGTATAAGAAATTGAGAGAATTCTGCAAAAAGCCTTTTATACCTAGATGTAGGTCAGTTGTTGTAAGTATATAAGAGATATATTTTGTACAACCAGTAGTCAGACAACATTGAGTTGTCAAGTTTGTACAAATGAGTTATATATGTTCAAACAGTCCTGGGCATATTTTAGTAATTGAACGGTCTGCCCATCTGTGAAAGAGTTTAAGCTAAACCAGCATGTTGATATATCAATATAAATAATTTTTATTTATAAGTACAAAGTACATGATCTTGGCAAGTAACATAAATATGCCTTCCATTTTTTCCCAGGTAATTTGAAAATAGATATGGTGTCACCTCTGTTTAGGAAACATTTTTGATGTCAAGCAACCTGCTAATACAAGACATACACAAATTGTCTTTTGAAATTCTCAGCACAATAAAATATTTTTACATTCTAAAATTTCTGAGATACATCAATCTGTTTGCTGTCTTATTAATGCTGCCAACTTTCTCTACTGATCATGATGGCTTGAATACAGACATCCCAGTTTTACTTTTCCATCAACTTATAAATAGACATTTGTATGTTAACAGTCGCAAGTACTATGATATTGACATAGATGCATTAAATAAAATATCACAATTATTATAGTAACTATTTACATTTATAAGCACTTAGGGGCACAGTATGCAAATTATTAGCATTTATTTAACCATGTTTGAATCTTGCAAAATAGCATATATGATGATATAAGTTCTTTCTAAATTTCTGAAATTCAAGAAAAATTGTTTCACAATACACCATCTTTATGTTTGTATTTTAATTTCTTATTGTAGATTGACACAAACCAGTTTTCATGGGAGAATTTACGAGAACAGTTTTTGAAATATCTTGTTGTGTAATGTAAATAATAAAGTTCATGAATGTGTCATTTTTTATAACCTCATTGTTATAATTACTCGTCGAAGATTAGACAGAGGGATATAGTTTTAGCATTGTCTGTTCATCAGTTTATCTGTCCGTCTATTTATCTGATGTCTTAATATTGTCTGTCACAGAATTACATGGGGCATAAATCTTAAGCTACTTCAGTTTGGAAATATAGACTTAAATAGGAACTTATTGTGTGAAACTAAAATGCCTAGAGCTTACATCTTAAGTGTGTAGCTTTGCCCTGTGTATCTTCACACAACTGATATTAATAATGCCCCTTGAGTCAATATTGGACTTGCTCCTGGGGTCACTAGATTAATATATAGATTTCTGTAGGAAAACACATTATTCTTTTTAATGAAGCTTGTTAACGAAGGATAGTAAAAGGCATCTAATGACTTAACTTCTACATAGTTTTCTACAAAATGTTAATATTTACCTTTTAAAGCACAATTTATTTAATAAATTTTAATCTATAGACCGGTTAATGATAATACACATATGCCAAAGAAAATAAGTCATTTTGCTCTGCTATTTCCAATTGTAACTACTCGTGAAAACTTTAGTAAGCGACTAAATTTAAACTGTTTTTCAAATTATTAAAACCTCTTTGACTAACGAAGTTATTATTGATGACGGTTCATATGATGATTGTGTATGGAAATATCGTATACTATGTTAAATTGTCAAACAATTTTAGTTTTTGTATTGCTGTAAACTGATCTGGAATTTCCATCAAAGTTGCCAAGGCGATCGCTGCATGTGGATTCCTGGCTTCAGACTTTATTTTATGAAACTCCACAAATTGAAAATTATCAAAGAGTCTACTGGGCAGTTTATCATCAAAGTGATTCATGGCAGTCCATGGTCCATCGCCCACTCCAATAACCACTATGGATAGAGGAAAGTTTGAGGCTTTCACAATACTCTCAATAGTTTCTTCTTCATTGTCCACTTTGCCCGTACACACTATCACCAATATATGGTACTATAAAATGAAATCAATATAGGTTACCATAGTTGAAGTAAACAACACGTGGCAGCAAGAGGAAACCGACAGCTCGCCCAAAACAATTTATTTAGTCGATAAACGCAAAATATGATCAAACAACATATTCCGAAAACAAATATTAGTCTGTTTTATTCTCAAAGACGCATTTGTTGGACGGTCGCGGACAGAAATTTTAATAGGTCCCCAGGAATACAAAAAGTTATGGCGTTTTACGTCGACATCAATTAATTAATAGCCGGTGCAACACCTTGTTAAATACATGTATAATTACTTAAGTCCTTGTGAGTTAGTAGCGAAATATTCGACGTGGCATAATCCGATGCATAACAAGAAAATAATGTTTACAAATGTTACAAAATTTAATTAAACTACAACAACAACAAGTTAATGAGATTGTTGATTTCAATATTATTTTTGTTCTGATAAACAACGTTTGTACGAGTAATTTTTTTATACGAGAGTTTTTCGTAAAGTTTGACTAATTTTGTAATATCTCATGTAATAATCAATTAATACAGTTGAAATTTGGTGTGTAAATCTGGTCAACTGGAACTTAATTATGTTGTGAGTGATATATGGGAGGACAGAAAGTATTTGTCTCTACACATACCATCCTCAATATGTACAATTTACATATGTATACTATAAATTATTCGATATAAATCAACAAAATCATTTTAACTGCTGAAGGGTATTTTATTTGAATACATCTGAACTGTAAAATAATGATTACCCTAATATTAAGAAAGGTGTATTTTAGAACAATAAAATGAATTAATGGAATAAAACTTGAACGTTTCGTATTACTTGTTTTGTCCGCTGGACAATGTTAATAGCCTTTTCTATAAGTGGAGCAAAGTTCGATGGACCACCAAGCGTTCTTGATGGGGTGAATTTATTGTACGTTTCCAGAACATCTAGAAATCCTTCACAGTTGCCCTGAAGTGATAAAAGCTTGATTAATGTAATATAAAAACTATAAGTTATCGTACCCTTTACACTGTTTCATTCTAATATTGTCATCAATTGATTTATCTGGCAAACAGCTGTTGCGTTCTTTATTAAAACAAATTTTTTAAACATAAAAATATGATCACCTCATCTTTAAGAGGAAATGTGCCATGTTCCTCTTCAACGGTTCCTCCAAACCCAAAAGTCGGTATAATGCCGTCGTCATCTAACGGTTCTAGAGTTTCACCAAGAATACATATCACCTAATAACACCCAATAACACATGTATAATATATGTATAATACAAAATGTAGTTAATGTAGAGGTATTATTTCTGTTGATATAAACTGATTATAAGGAATTTTCTAGGTAATCTTTTTTGCGCTATGATTTAATAATGATAAGTTAATTATGTAAAATTAATTCCCATCATATTCATGAAAGGATCTCTTCATAATTTGTTACAGAATTTGAACAGAATTGTCAATCAGTAAAAAGAATGTTTATCTAACGAGACATTATTAACTATAGAATTTACCTCTTGGTAAGGATTTGATCTCTGTTTAGACACATCATGAAGACTCCGTTTATTAAATGTGACTTTTCCATTATATATGTTTTCCTTCGTGTAGTCGATACCTTTAAACATAGCATAGAATCTTAACACGTAAAACACGCTTGTCCGAAATTCCCAATTGAACAACATTTTGTATATATTTAAAAACCCTTTTTGAGTTTATTGATAATTATAACGATTTGCGACACTAAATAAAAATTGAATAAAATGCGAGTTATAATATCATCGAGTGGAATGAAAATAAATATTTACAAGTGGCGGTAGCCACAAGTAACGTATGATTTTTCTCATACCATGCAATGAAAATAAATCCTGTATTTATAGACAAAAACTTGATTTTTCTGTTTATTATATACTTTTCTCTTCTTTTTTGTTTTTGCCATACGATACGAAATACTGTGTTTTGGCTGAATTCAGAAAAAATATACCGGCAAGACACCAGCGAAATACGTAAAATATATGTTTCAATGCAGTGAAAACAAGTTTTTACAGTGAAAATACGAAAATTAAAATATGCATCGTATTGCATCAATAATTCTCAATACTTTTATTTATAAGCATAAAATAAATATTTTTACCGAAAATAAGGCCACAGTTTGTAACGCCAACATCCTTGATAGCCTTTGATACTTCACTGAGACTATGAAACCTGTCGACAATAACTTGAAATGTACTGCTACTTTCTGCTACACCAAAATCATCAGCTAGGGTCTTGAAGAATGTCTTACTTAAAACATATCACCGAGAACAAATCAAATGAAAACATAATCTTTTACAGCAATGAACAAACTTTATTCTGTTTGTAATTGTTCACAAATCTAATCCACACACAAGCGAACAAAATTAATCTGAAAAACTGAATGAAACTCCCATAAATATTTTCTTCATACAGCTCGTAAACATGATGTAAAATTTCAATTTTACATTATTTCTAGATTACCTAAGTACCAGTTTAAATAATAGATAAAATAAACCAACGAAATTTGTCCTGTAAGTACTGAGACTGGATCATGAAAACCTGTGTTTAGTTCATTTAAAAACTTTTTTTCAGAAATGTTCATGATGAATTGAAAAGATGATACTTTTAGAAGTATCTATACAGTCATGTACCGATACAAAAAGTCCTATTTTCAACGCTTTTTGTTATTTAACCCTTTCGCTGCCAGAGGGTTATTGTTTTAGTGTTCACCTATTTGCCAGAGGATTTTCTAAGAAATTACTATATTATTAATTAATATAATTATTATTATTTGTTATTTGTATTATAATAATTATATATGTTTCCAAATCTGTTAGTATAATAATAATTATTGTCGATGGTATAATTTTCTTTATATTTATTATTATTTTTATTATTATTATTATTATTAATTTATTATTATTACTATCATTATTATAGAAACGGCTAAAGCCGTCCATATGGCAAATACGCCGAAAATAACAGGGACGGCTTAAGCCGTCCCTATGGCAGTGAAAGGGTTAACCTTGTCGAATCGTTGCAAAAAAAACTAATAACAGAGGCGGATACTGAACAGAATTGGCTTTTGGAGGGAGATTTTGACAAAATTAAAGAACAAACTGTGAAAGGGGGAAAGGTGTGTTTTTGATGATTGGGCCAACATCTTGTACATGTGCTTTTTATGGTAACTGTTTGATACATTTACAACGCTTTTCTTTATTTAGTTCACTTATATAATTTACCTCATCTATTTTTATTATTTTTCATTAAGGATAAATAAATCTATGTTAGATATTAAAGAGGACATTGCAATTTCAATTCAAAAGGGCATACTCTTGTCCAGCTAGTAAACGTATCTTTGGGCTGAGCCCCTGAACCCCGCTGAGTCAAGAAGTGTTCACTCTAAATGTGTCGCGATTTTTTTAATCGTAATGAACAAGTAAAAACCGTCGATTTTCACAAATTGCACATAGAATGATTGTATAAGTTTACTAAACCACTAGCCAGGGTATATAACTTCTAGTATATCACAATTGTCATGTTCTGTCTTGGACCGTGACCCAAAATTTGAGCACAAATGAACGCAATACAATTTCTTTACTTCTTTCTTTAGCCTGACTGTGGAACATCTTACCCAAGTCAGGAATGAAACAGATGCCGTGTATACCTTATTACTTTTGTTATTAGTTAAATTAAACACGGACGATGCAGTTTACAATAGTACTCTTATTTAGTTTACTTTCATATATAACTTTTTGCGTTGCAAGCAATTATGAAGGTAAAAAAGTTACCTGTATAATGGTGTTACATTTTCAACACTTTGTCGTTGTTTCTTGAGAATATTTTGAAATTTATCCATTTCTTTACTTCATAAATATTTTCATATTTTGAGATAAAGTTTACAAGTTATTGATGTCTGGTTTTAAACATATTTGAAAAGCTTTAAAGATAGTGGTAAATATATTATACTTTAAAACTGACCTGGTTATGATACTGTTCTGATTTTAGATTTTGTGTCGTGAATACAAATAAAATAAATCTGTAAAGTAATATGATCTACAGAGGTAAATATCGATTTTATCGTTGTAGAAGTATACTGTATTATAGCCATAATTGTGACAAAGTTAATAAATTAACACACTTTATGATTTTAGATAAACATTAAGAATATACAAATGAGATATTTCATTAATTATTTTTGAATATGACAACATCTTTTGTATAAACATATATAGAGGATATTGAATAAGTGTTAGTTCATTACAAAATTTATTGAGATAAATGAATTTGGTAATAAACCTACACAAATATGATATTCTTTTTATCACAAACCCAAAATTGCAGTGAAAAAAATCACTGTTTCATCGACGCTCTTATATATGTCGTAACGCTAACTTTTAGCGCGTCTTTTTACACTTTGTTTATATTATCAGTTTTATTTTTGACAGGATACATGGCTCTGTAACACCGCACTTTGGGGTCAAACGCACTTTGGGGTCCAATTTCGACCCCAAAGTGCGTTAAACAGGTACATATGCATTTTTCAACATCAGGCAAACGACCGCACTTTGGGGTCAGAGAAAATTTATGTTCATTATGTTTTAAATAATATACATGTAGTGTAGTCAAAGCCAATGGTAAACAAAAATCAAGGTATTAAATAGACACAAAACATGTGCCCTGAATCAATAGGGATTTAAATGGTCTTGATTAGTAAGTGAAGAACTTTCACAAAATAAATCACCAAAAAAAAGAATTTGTATCAATGCAGCACGCCTCCAGATTCACGCTAATTTTCATGAAAATTTTGAAAATTTATTTGAATGTATAATATTGTGGAATAACCAAAAGGAAGCAATTTGCACATTATCAATGGCACTTATAACTTACGTAAATTACCAAAAAGTTGTCAAAATATGCATAAATAGCCCTTAATGCGTTAGTAACGCAGTAGGAATATAGTTGTAAATATTGAAAACTCAGTCATTGACCGCACATAATATGTAAAATATTACTTGAATCTTGAATCATTTTACATTTCCTATAATCGTAGTACATATTTCTCAAGTTTGATTTTATTGAAATATTTTGACTCATCTGGAGGCATGCAGCTTTAAGCTTAAAATATGTTTTTCTAAAATTTTCCATTTATTTTAAAAGAATGTACACCTTTCATTAACTCCATTGTTTTTGATAAGTTGATAATGTTTTTGAATATTCATGTAAATGGGGTTTGAAGATAAATGTTAATAAAACTAAAATATGTGTATTTGAAAAACGTAAGTCAGTCCATAATTTTAATATATTTATAAATGGTCAATTGGTTGAAAAAGTAGATAGTTTTACATATTTAGGAGTGAAATTTTCTTACACAGGTAGTTTTGTTAAAGCTGTGAAAGCACTATCAGATCAAGGTCTAAGAGCTTACCACAATGTTCTCGCACTCTTTGATAGAGTTAAATTCGATGTTAAAACAAAATTATACTTATTTGAAAGAATGGTAGCTCCAATCTTATTATACGGGTCAGAGGTTTGGGGTATATATAAGCTGAAAGATATTGATAAACTACAGATAAGATTTTATAAATATGTTTTAGGTGTCAAAAGACAGACCCCAAATTGTGCTATCTATGGGGAACTAGGTAAATTTCCTTTGTCTGTTCTATGTAAGGAAAGAGCTTTACAATTTTGGAATAAAATCGTTAACCGTCAGCAGGCGCCTATATACCATATTTATTTAGACCAATGCACTAATGGGAATGGTAACTGTTGGGCTAAACGCGTTCATTCTGTTATTACTGATATGGGTTTCCCATACATTGTTTACGACTATGCAGTTAATGTCAATTATAATACATTTGTATGTTATTTAAGCAGAGAATAAGAGATCAATTTTTACAACAGTGGCATGACTGTATAGATAATATGCCAAAGCTTGACTACTATAAGAAATATAAAACACAGTTTTGTTTCGAGGAATATCTTAATTTTGTAAAAAATGACAACTTACGTAAACAATTATCATGTTTTAGATTATATTCTCATTCCTTAGAAATAGAAACAGGGAGATATATGAGAACGGATAGAAATAATCGATTGTGTAAATTATGCTCGTATAAAAATGTTGAATCAGAATACCACTTCTTATTATGTTGTCCCTTATATTCAGAACTGAGAAAATCTTTTATAAAACATGTATCTTTTCCAACTTTAAATAAGTTCTATTCTATTATGTCATCAGGAAATAAAAGTAGAATATTGCAACTATGTAAATTTTTAAATAAAGCATTCGCACTAAGATCTAGTGTTTTAGAAACAATGCAAGACTTGTAAATTCGATATTTTTCTGCATTTTATGTGAACATTGTATATATTTGTATTGAATGTATGTCATATTTCAAGTGATTTATGTATGTTTTGTATGTATTGCCAAAGGCAAAGTTTTGTCGAAAAATGCAATAAAATTTGAATTGAATTGTTTTTAGCTAAATGCATCATTTTCCCGTTTGTTATTTACACATTTTACAGAAATATGATAGTCTTTGCATAGACAAAGGTATAAATTCTGGGTAATCTTAGTAAGACATTTCAGTAAAAAATTTGCCTGATAATATGTTAAAATAGCCATTCATTTAGCTAAATGTGACACATTAGAAACTTGACTAGGTGAAGATGCGGCTTTAAGTAGTAGTCCGTACAGGCAGTCAAAAAATATCAACTATTTAAGTAGTCGCACATTAAGAGCGAGCTTCAGAATAATGTAAAATTCTCACTGGGGGTATAGAGGGGATTGTGGGGTATCGATCTCCCCGAGGTTTAAAAATAACATTTTAAAGGCCCATTATGCTTTTTATTGTTTTTCTTCAGCTTTTTTATTTTGATGTTCTTTTATATTATCAAAAAAATACACATTGGCCAATTACCTGATCTGTTGCTTAATGATGAGTACAGTACTGTTATAGTGATAAGTAGTTTACATGTTTTATATGGAAGTCAAATACTACATTGTTTTGACTACTTTTATGACAAATAATTTCACATTTATCGCTACTTTATTCAGGTAACAAGCATCTTACATTTCTCTGATACCATTATTTTAACATTATAAAATTCATCTTTCTAAAGAAGTATGTAAGATTTCCCATTAAAAAAGCATCTGGCGAACGGTTGTTACGGAGGGGGAAAAAATATTAACTGCATTTTATTTCATTCCTTACATATTTAAAATGGAGCTCAACATGGCACCAAAAGTTATCAAGTAAATGACTGACAGAACGGGATATTTTTCGCAGCATCTTTAAACTTTAGGAATACACGATTTCTGTACTAAAATATTTTGAACGGTGGCAAAAAAGTGACATTTGCAACTTTTTTTTTGTTTTTGATACTTTTTTTTTTCGTACATATTTTTTGTTGTTTTTTTTTTGTTTGTCATACATTTTTTTTTAGTTTTGAATACATACTTTTTTTTAGTTTTGCATACATATTCTTTTTAAGTTTTGCATACATATTCTTTTTAAGTTTTGCATACATATTTTATTTTAGTTTTGCATACATATTTTATTTGAGTTTTTGGTACATATTTTATTTTTGTTTTGTTTTTTACTTTTTTTCGTACATAATTTTACATGACGCCATTTGCAAAGTAGAGGTTTGGATAATTACGCCATTTGTAAAACACCATTTTCAAACACTTCGCCATCTGTAAATTACAGTACCCCATTTGCAAACGCCATTTGCAAATACCAACATTTTCATTTTTGGAGGTATCAAAAAGATAATAACACTTTTTAGTATATATATATACAGAGACATAGATATTATCTATGTCTCTGATATATACATGTACATGTATATACATGTATATATATTATTTTTTCTAAATCAGTGGAATATAACGGAAGGACCTATTTAGATCTTTTATTGTGCATTATTGTAATACACCAGTCATTTGTAACCATCTCCCTTGCCCCCGGGGGAATGTGGGTTAAAAAAGAATCGTGTGATGTCTGCGCTGTTCCGGGGCATAAGGCAGGAATGTTATTATCTGAATATGCCCCGCATGGCGAAGATTTTACCAGTGGTCGGCTTGGTTTTAAGTCAATGCCCCTCCCCCCGCTATACTCAGGCGGTGGGGTTGAGTGGTGCATATTCATTCACCAATCAACAGCCCTTTCCAAATAGACACTAATATAATAGTAGATAATAATTTAAAAAAATACACTAATTATATTAAATACATATGATTTAAAAAATGGGCCGAAAAAGGTCGGCCAAAACCAGACTTGCGCGGCCAAAAACGACTGGGCCGATTCCAAAAAATGGGCCGAAATGTGACCAAACTACTGTGCTAGTTTTATACTCAACTATGGGCTGTTATGAGATGTGAAGGCTGTTTTGATTGGCTAAAATATGTACGAAAAACCAAAAAAAAATTGTACGAAAAACTTTAATAAAATATGAATGCAAAGCTCAAAAAAAAAATATGAATGCAAAACTGAAAATAATTTTGTTATGAACAAATTATTATTATTATTGGATATTTTAAGTGGTAAAATTAATGAAACTTTTATCACTTAAGCATCATCAAAGTATTGACCGCCATCTTGAACTCCACCTCAAATATTTCAATGTCGCAGATCGAAAATAAGTCAGTTCTCAGTATTTAAGCAGAACTCAGATTACACCTTTAGACCTCTGGAACCCTAAGTGCGTTGATATGTAGCATATTAACGCACTTTGGGGTCAATTTCTCGATTTTGACCCCAAAGTGCATTTGACCCCAAAGTGCGGTGCGAAGTTTAACGCACTTTGGGATCGGACCCCAAAGTGCGTTTGACCCCAAAGTGCGGTGTTACATGGCTCTTTATAAACACTTGTTTACATACATAACTCGAGCCGCTAGGCGAAGATTATATTGCAAACATCCATTTTTAGTAGATATTTAAAGATTTTTGACAGTCTAAATATAGCCCTGTATAAACAGCTGTTTGGAAAATATAACCCTAGCCGATAGGCGAGGGTAATATTGCAAACAACCGTTTATATACGGTCATATAACCTGTCAGGAATATTTAATACGAATTTATAATAAAGAATCCTTCCTTTTATTAGAAAAAGTGAGATTTCTTAGAAAATTGACAGCAGCCGTGTATATATAACTTTATTACCCTTTAAGATTTTTCCCCTTTTTGATTGGAAATTGATCCGCCGAAAGTGATTGATCTTGCCGAGCCAGACAGGTAATATACACATCAAATATTATAAATTCGTTATAAAGATTGTTGACAGGCTATATGGCCGTATATAAACGCATAGCCGTTTATATACGGCCATATAACCTGTCAACAATCTTTATAACTACTAATATACACAACTACTGCCAATTTATGAAAAGTCTCACTTAAAAAAGAAAAGTTTGCTGTATTATAAATTCGTTATAAAGATTCCTGACATGTTATTTGATCGGATATAAACGGCTGTTTCAATAAAACCCTCGCGGCTCGAGTTACATTTCCAAACAATCGTTTATATAATGCCATATAACCTGACAAAAGGCTTTATAACTAATAAAATAAATCGTCACGATTATCCAATTCAAATGTGCAGTATTTAAAAAAAAAGAAAAACACTAAGAACGTCACGATTGTCCGATGAAAAGCAACGTTACAACATGATTATTTTATTCAACGAGTTCAATTTTAGTAATGAACTACTCGAATATAATACAGTAAAAAAAAACTCAATTAAGACCACCACTGGGACTGCACTAAAGTGGTCTTAATTACAGGGTGGTCTTAATTGTGGATATTCTTATTATTGCTTACACAAGTTATTACCATGGTATATTTTAATAATTTTGTATGAACAGACAATATGTATCTTAACCTACTAATGCAATGTAAAAGTATGTTATAATGTTACATCTGATAGGAAGAAAACGTATTTCTGTAGAAAATTAATATCAAATTCTCTTTGTTCTGATTTCAATATTAATTATTTTATGATGTACATAATTCACATAACATATAAGACATTATTTCTTCACAAAATAAATGTAAATATTAAACCACTCTAAAATTTACTTTCTCACCATATTTCATACAATATCCCATAAATAACAGTTTTTGACACCTTGTAAAATCAAGTGTCATGCCAAGGAGCAATCAAGCAGATAATAACAACATAACAACAAATTTAAGATCTAGGAAGGTGTTTCCTTTAATATCAGTGGTCTCAATAGTGAGGTCAAATAAAGAACAAAAAAAAGAATTGGGAATGAATTTGGTTGTCTTAAATGTGGAAAAATGAGTTGGTCTTAATTCTGGATCATGTTACCATTGACATAAAGAACAGAAAATTCCATTCTTTTAAAAACTGATCTTAATAGCAGGGTGGTCTTAATTCTGAGGTGGTCTTAAGTAGGGATTCTACTGCATTCTATTTATTAGATTTCCAAAAATAGGAACTTATGTGTGACGTTTAATTTCTATATGTCAATTCGTCAATATGAGGTCATAACTATTCAGATCCTCTTCAACAAGCGAACAGGACAGTCTCGTCTTGTTCTTCTATCTGCTGGGTGCGTATCGTTATGAGAATGAAGAAACTAGAGACATGGTAATAGATTATCAGGTAATTGTATCATAGTTTGGAGACCTTTCTGTTGAAAATGTGTCAGGGTTAAATCGTATACATATACATGCACAGTGCGTTAACTGGAGTGCGGGTATTAGTTACCCGCACTCCAGAGCCTGCCCATTGATTCAATTTGATTGGCTCATTTTTGCTGGGGTTTACATATTGTGACGGCAGAGAAAGAGAAAGCGACAGAAATGTCATATTCAGATGTTCGTTCATTGGTTCATTTTTGCCTGGGTTTCATATTGTGACAACAGGGAACGTGCTTTTATGTTTGACTATGATACAAAAGAGAAAGAACACCAAAACACTCGGCAATCTGATTAATACTCGGGGGCTACGCCCCCTCGTACAAATCAGATAGCCTCGTGTTTCGGTGCTCTTTCTATTACTAATATTAATACTATATTGAGATAGACAAAGGCTATAAGACACACGTAGAACGAATTGACAACATAATGGTTTCTTATATCCTATTTTGTGTGCATAAACTGAAAAGTTAATACGCCGGAAATCAAGAACAGTGAAACCTGATGTTTATAAATGGTTTTAGCTCACCTGAACACAGAATGCTCAGAGGTGAGCATTTGTGATGGCGTTGTGTCAGGACGTGTTTAATTGTTTGAATGTTATCTGACTATTATGAAAGTCTTGTATTCAAAACGCAATACTTTCACACCTATCATAATAGTATAGAGCTCGACCAGCCTGTAATATACCATATTGTACCACATTGTAAGCTATAATACCATATTGTACCACATTGTAAGCTATAATACCATATTGTACCACATTGTAAGCTATAATACCATATTGTACCACATTGTAAGCTATAATACCATATTGTACCACATTATAAGCTATCGGTTATAGGAGTACTGAATCATCAACAAGGCAACCCGAAAGTCAAAATGGCAAACAAAAAATTTTAAAAGGTAACAATTAGAATCATTATTTGCATTGTATATTTTTTTATTTTTCTGGCATCAGTTGAAAACAACACAATGAAAAGTTTGACTTTTTATTTTGTAAGAACTGTTTCCCCCTTCATGGGCTCGTCTACATATCAACTAATTTCTACTCCAGCTAAGTTTTGTATACTTTGACCTTTATATTAACACCAAGTTATCTATAGATCACGTTCTTTGATGGATTTTAACCAGTAAATGGAATAAAATAAATCTGTATTGTTTTAAACTTTTAAAAAAAAATGATCAAATGAAATAACAGATGTTTTTACATGTAATCCTAATATGTTGATAATGAATTTCTTTCGTGCAAAAATTATTTGTTGTAAGTAAATAATGATATACTCTGAACATACAGCTTTAGAAAGCTTGATATATTATTTACAATATTTTGTCTATTTTCTTATTCTTGGTTATACCTTTTATTTCAATGGTAGATAAAAAATATCTTCATAACAAAAATAATTCAATAAACATCTCTACATAAACAGCATACACAAATATGAACATTTAAAAATAACATGGAAAAATGACATATAAATCTGAGTATTTTGATCAAATGAAATCAAATCAATTAAACATAATTTCTACTAATAAAAGAGAATAATTGAGAAGTAAAGAAAATATTACATTACAAATGAAAATTTACAACATGCGTAGTTCACAGGCACATTAAACCCCAGCTATAAATAAATGTAGTCACTTTGTTGAAAGGGCATACACGTGCTTTATAATGTTTTAATATTGAATTAAGGACATGTGAAATACTCATCACTTGAAGGAAGTATAACACTGAATGTGGTATATTTGTCATAAAGTTAGCAAAATGTATTTACTTCCATATAATAAACTAAATCACTCTAACAGTACTATTAATTAACAAAACGTAAAGGAAGCAAAATATGACACCAAAAACAAGTGCTTTTGAGAAATAAGATTAATTCATTTCGAGGCTTAATGGGCCTTTAATTTATTTGCCTTACAACGACTTTGTCTTTTTGTATTAGTATCATTTTTATCATTTCTGCCTGGTTTGTCAAACTTTCAAAGTTAAACCTGAGATGAAAGGGTTTGTTTGGCATTTATATTATTAAAGGATATATACACCTGATGAAAATATCTACGACATTGTTTCTCTGAAAGAAACTGGATTTCAGAACAGCACAAAGCATTGATATTGGTATTATACGTGACAGACATCTGTTGTTACTTGAGAGATTCAAGGTAACTGTGTTTATGTCTGACCACCCGTTAAACTTCAATTACACAAATAATAATAATACATATTTTAATGTCTGCAACAAACCAAACTTTGTGACATATTCTACAAAAATGATTCCTTCTCCCTTCGTACATACTCTAAACAAAATCATAAAATTCATATCTCATACATATATCTTAAAGTCATAAGCTACCTTACACATTTGCAAATTATACATATAGCTTCGACAACATAAAACCTGTAAACTTGCATTTGAAATTGCACATACATGTATATACACTCTATATCGTTTTGGGAAGACAACAGGTAGAAAATGGCATTGAAAGTTACTATGCTTGCAAACTTTCTTATATCACAATTATATTTCTAGCTTATAAATTCAATTTGTACTGAAAATGTTTATCACACAAATGTGTCACTGTATGTTTTATAAATGAGAAGTTGTATCATTTATCTTCGTTTCATCATTTTCATCGACAAAGAACACTGGTTTTTTCTTCTCGCCATTTGTTAGAGAGGGTTTATATGCTGGTGGTTCGTCGAAAGCATAGTTCATCTGAAATGATCGTTAACATGGTATAATGAGCATTATATAGATTAAAACGACAGTGACTGTAACATCCTTCAAACGTGTCTATTACAGTAATCACTTATCCAAAAAGTTCTTTATTATGTTATGTAACTGATACTTTTTACAAATTGTTTATAGAACAAAATGTATGTTTAAATTAAAATTAAAAACATGTTGTCCCGACCGTCAAGGGTTACAGTATAAGTTTAGTAATGTAGGTGCTAAGTGATAATTGGTCACATTGCTCAATTTGTACACATCTGTCTGTTACATGCTTCAATATACTAAATATAATTATATTAAAGCTATATTATATTTGATTAGAGTATTACTATTATTTATATTATTATCATAGATGATGTTGTTATGATTATCATTATTTTTTGTTATTATTCAAAGTATTACTTTCAGCATACAACAGGAAACGCTTGTGACATTAACAAGATATACTAGTCAATAAATTACTTATCAATTTAAAAATGAACACATTCTAAAATTGTTGATTCACATTTTTAAGCATTGTATGTGTTTCGAGTTAGGCAATACTGAACTAAGCTGATATGTTTCAGATATAGTGTTATACATATACAGCGCACATATTTTCATTCAGTTTATGTAATCTGTTTATGAGATACCTGTTTTAATTTTGCAGGTGAATCATTTAGATGGAAAATATCTGATGTCTGTAATGAACATATTCCAACGTTAAATTCTCTTATTTTTTTGATAGGTTGTCATGGAATACCTATTATACTCTTAGTACAGTCGTGGTTTCCTTAAATCTTAACAACTACTTTATTTGCAAAATAGCATTTATAATATGTATATTTGTACATTAATATCAGAGAAATTGTTTAAATTTTAACTTTTCATACAACTTTATGTCTGGATAATAATTTATCACGTGGAACGTTACTGATCACGTGGTGAACATACCCTTCCAATCATTCTCTCCTTGTCACCTGGTTTTTCCGCGTGTTTTCCCGGCAGTAAGTCGTCAAGATATTTTAGTTCATATTGCGTGTAGTAACATTCAAGGATCTTCCTTACAACACCGGTAGCGAGCACCTATTAAATAAACCACGTGATTACCATCTGAATATAATGAAAATATCCAACAAATGTAAACAATTTGTGCTCAGTTGAATTGATTATAAATACATAGTGTAGAGCAAAATACTTTGTTTAATACTGTTTGTGAAGTTTGACGTTGAAGAGTTTTGATTTACATACCATAAGAGGGAATCCGATTGAGATGGCTTTGATTGATTTGACGGCCCAGAGGACACCGAGACACAATACTTGAACAACAGTAAATATGTGTACCCGGTACAACTGAACATGACGGAGGTATGTAAGGTCTGGCTGATATTTAACTGGTTGCACAAACAAGAAAAGACGGTCGACAAGCTGAAAAAACAAGGATGTATTTATACATGTATGTTGTCATTATGAAATATCTTAAACGTTGGTTAAACAGTTACTATAAAGACGAATGTCAAATGAAAATGCCAACACATTACTGGAATAAATTTTAAAAAAAACAACATGGTGTAACAATGACGTCATTGATCATCAAAAGAACATATAATGTACATGTAAATCTTACCTGCATGCCCCTCATAGCTGAGAAACCCATGTAGAAAAACACTCCATACAATACAGGCATAGGAATCACCTAAAATGTTGATATGATTTGAATATTTCTGATTTAATAACACCAAAAAAATTTATAAAATGTTCACTGGTTCAACATGATGGACATCAAAGAAAATCACAAAAACAGTGACATCAATGATAACCTTATCTATAAATGTTTTATTGACGTTTATAGAGTGATTTATCCGGCTAACTTTTTTTGTTTGGTATTAAGTTACACCGCCACTGCAACGTTCCTATGGCAACTTAAAATGTTTACTTTTGGAAGAAGACCTAAGGTACCCATTTGTGTATTTTTTAAGGCCAAGTAAAACCAACGACCTTCCGTAAGCTAGCTGGATTACTTGCTCACATGAAGGAATCCAAAGTCCCTGGTGGGATTCGATCCTACAGCGGTGAGAGGCAAGTGATTTGGAGTCAGCTATCAGGATGCCCATTCTGCTAACAACGTTGCTTACCTTAAGTACAGCAGTGATGAAGACAGCAGCTCCACTTAGAACACCAATGGCAAGGGCAGTAAGTCTGTTTTCTCTGAAAATATTAAACTTCTTTTTCTAGAAATACTGGCCTGAGACAATATTTTGGTCACAGAGTAAAACTATTTATTCAAAAGGCAATACGTGTATTTAATTCATATTGAAGATACAAACTTGTTAAAAAATCTGAAAAGAAGGAGACTACAGACTCTGATTAAAGTGAGATAATGATATAAAAATTATGTAATATCTCTCTTGCCCCCTAGCACCGGCCTAATCAGTATTCAATCTTCAACACTGAACAAAGAGGAATCAATCATTCCTCATAGCCTGAATATATATCAATTTCTTTAACCTATAGGAAATTGTCTTCAATGATAATATTTTATGAGCATTACCTGCAGCCAAGGAACTGTGGCTTCTCACCAGGTGCGGTACACTCAGATTCTCTCTTTAAACTGTTGACGTGAGCAAGAGCTGATACAGTGGCGGCTACATACCATGGTAGACCGAGTATTGAATGGATGGCAACAGTAATAGCAACAACGAACATGTCCAAATGGTAACCGACTCCTTTCTGTGAAATAAAATCAATGGATTGAAGTTTTATAAGACAATTTTGGAGACATCGACAAATAATGTTATACTGGAATAAACTTACAATCGAATCAATCAAAATACTGACCTTTAAGCAAATACATAAACACAAAAGATTGAATTTCTTTATTTATGTATACGTAAGATAAAGAAAGATTTAAGTCCCTTTAAGTCCCTAGATTACCTTGAGTTTGTTTTCTTTCCTGTTGACAATGACAGCTGTGATTTGTTGATCGAGGAAGATCAAGATGACAGATAAAAGGGCAGGGACAGCTGCGGCAATAGCCAACCACCAGGGGTTCTTATCGCTGATTGGGTTAATCAACCATCCACGGTCACTTCTTGTTGGCTATATAATTATAATAGAAAATAATGTTGCAGAAATAATTATATACTGTGAGTATATTAAATGTCTGCAGAAGTAATCGAAGGTATAGAAATGTTTAAACTATTAGTTAGGTAGCATAGATTTGCATGAAAATTTAGTCTGATATGGTATTAAACTTTCATGAACAATTAATCTAATGATAAATAAATCTTGTATAACAATTAATCTGAAGATTTATATATATTGCATAAACAGTTAATCTTGTTATAATTATTATTAAACTAACCTCGAATTTTTCTGGTACAAGCAGTTTAGGTGTGTTGATACCGACAAGAATATCAATAACGACGAAGATGATAATTGACAAAAGTACGGCAAAGTCGCTGATAAGTTGTCTAGCAAATGTTGGGAAAATTGTTGTCATCTTGAAATCTTTCAACACTACAGCCACTCCGAATGTACCGAGGAAAAGGAGAACGCTGAAGAAGAAAACGTCGGCCACATAATGTGGTGGGTTACAGCCATCTCCAATGGTATAACCTCCGAAATCAACACATTCTGTAGCGTTATCCCAGTTGATGGTCTTGTTCATGGATTCCATATCGGTGATGTTTGCACAGATATCTGTCAAGTTCCTTGAAAGTGCCGTCACTATATAAAATATAAATTATAATGAAAATATGTGAAAATAATGCTTTCTGGTGTAGGACATGTAATGCCAGTATAAACTTTTTAACGCGAAAATACACTTGCTCCTATATCATCATTTCCAAAGTTGTTTATATTTGGATTTTCTTAATTTAATACATCAGTACTAAAGGTAATTTTGAAAAAATGTTACTTCATTAATCCCCCTTAAATGAGCGTCACGGAAAAGATTGGAAATACTACGAGGCGGGTAATTAAATGTACGTACTCGGTGTGCTGCTAGCAACTGAAGCCACTGTAGTTGTCAGCAAGGCGGAGCAGTTGGGTTGAATGCAGGAGCAGTTGGTCGAGATAAACGTGTCCGGATCTCCATTTACTGGATAATCCGTTTCGATCTCAAACAATTTCTTAAACGCCTCCACAATGAAGATCACTGCAATAAGGGTGGCAAAACTCTCCTCCGTGAAACGAGTAATATATTTCACGAGAGCGCTAAGATTGAATATTACAATGAGCAGGATGAACGCCGACGTCCAGAATCCAATCCAAACACGTGCAGGCATGAAATCCCAGTCATTATCCCTGTATAAAACATAAATAAAACAAAATGGTAGATAAAATAATTTACTTATCAGTAGTAAGTCGTATTTCACAATAAAATTATTGATAAATGATTTCAGCGAATACGTCTGGAAAACTTTCTAACTAGCATCCATGTTTGACTTACTTGCACAAGTTGTAAATAATGGTTTCTAACACCAACATAGGTCCGGTACTTCCGAGGATATTTAATGGTTGTCCAGAAAACAAAGCAAATATAATTCCTGTCACAGCAGCCGCAAATATACATTCCATCACACCCTAAAATGAATAGTTTTACAACAAAATCAAGTTCTTGTCGATATATATATCAACCTTTCCTGTTCGTAGCACATGAAGTTAACTTAAATGATAACGCTAATTTTGACTGCCTTTACTGTATAAAATATTACGTTTTGTTTTTATAATGAATATACAGAGTCGTAGTTATTTTTAGGATTTTAAGTCCCATTTAATATCATATACCAACTTTCCGGCTTTACTTATATATTTGTAAAACAGATGCATTATTTCAGACATCCAATTTTTCGATAAACATTTTGTCAAAGTTTAGCTTATAACTGATACAATTATAATTTCAATATATTGTGTGCAAATAATTGTTTTTATCAGTTTTCAAATTGCTATTTAATTTATTTCTTAGTCACTTACCATATACTGATCAGTTGCTTGTCCAAGTAAACCACCGAATGTGACATTTGGTGTAAAAGTCCCCAAAAACACATAAACAAAGGCGGCAAGGCACTGTATATGAATTCCATCTTTATAATCTGACCAATACCATGGGATCTTTCTCTTAATGTCGTTGTAAAGGCCATTAAATGGTCTAAAATATAATTAATCGTTTTTCTAATTGATAATTTAACTCTTTAAATTTATTTTTATCTTATGTACAAAAACTTATATATGAATAATTAAATAACTATTTTAGAAAAGGTAAAACGTTGATAATTATTACATTTTTGACATCTGCAATGTTGGGTCATCCCCGTGTCCGCCTTCGTCATCATCATCACCTTTATAGTCTAGTAACTGTGCAGATGACATACGTCGGTGCATCTATAAAAGAGAATTAGTGTGAAAGTTTCCGGTTGATGACTGTTTAACAATCATAATTGTACACTTATATATTTTCCTATGAAAGGCATTTTTATTCAAATACTAGTAGTGGGTAGCGATTGAATGTGATGGAAGATTTTTCTCAAATAACTTTAAATTGATTTTTCTTTCTTTTTTACCAAGGTATACTTTTGATATATGATTTACGAAGTTTATTCATGATTTAAAAACAACTGAATCTTGCTAATACCTGAGATTGAACTTTTTGTGGTGGTTCAATTCTTATTTTGGGGTTCCATTCTGATGGTGGTAGAACGGTGACTTGCTCAACGAACTCATCAAGGCCAGCAATCAGGTCGCTTATACTACGACTCTTGTATGCTACCTCTCTGAACACCTGAAATAAACATTTATCACAAAATATAAACGATATAAAAAATCCAAAAACTTTATCAATTAAGGCAGATAAAGATGATTATTTCACATCCGAAAATGAACAATACCTTCTACGTATCTAAACTATTTATTTGGAAGACAAGAATCAGTCATTAACTTTGTTATTATTTTTCATTTCATTTATAACATGTGTAAAATCAAACTTGAGTTTTTTTTACTACTGATCATTTACTTACATCATCAGTCATCATAGTTGCGATACATCTTCCAACTTCTCGTGCGTTTGTGAAACCCCGTGGTCCAAATATGCATGCCACAAATCTACGATATAAAAAACATTAAATAATAACATTTAAAGTAGTGATGAGAGTTATAAGATTATTTTGATACCTCTGTATCGCCATCTATAGCCAACTTGTCACAGCGGAGATTCTTACAGAACGTATGAAGCTGAACGGTTTGTCATATTCATTTATATTTATTAAAGCACATTTCAGACATAAATTTACAGTATCAATTACTGACCTGGTCGGCAACTTAACTTCTGAGATTCCCTCAAGAAGACGGGCCTCTTTAAGTCTAATGAGGCCAAGGATTGGGGTATGGAGATCCTCCAGTTCCCCAACCATTATATTACACACCTCGGATCCCTTCGGAATCTTCCTCATAAAATTACTGTTTGGCTGGAAAAAAGTATAGAAACTAGTTAAAGGGTTGTTTGCCGTTGCTTTTTCTTCAGACTAAGAATAAATGTGTTTAAAAATTAATAAAAGTTTTGGAACAGATGTACTGTTTATTCGTTACAAATATTAAAATTGTCAAAAATCTCACTCAAATTGTTTGGTCAGTGGTACTTATGTTAACAAACTTAAGTCAAATGATTACTGAATACTTACTTTTTTATGTAAGTGTTTAAATATGTAAATGTTAGAAGGTATAGAAGCTCATGGTAACGTAAGAGAAAATATTACCTTGTAATCTTGGGCGACAAGTCCCTCCAGGTCAGTGGAACTGCCGTGAGAATTCATACTTGTCAAACTGGTAGTGCTTGCTAAAACAGTAAACAAGCACATAACAGTAAAATTCTTTTTTCTAAACTTTACAAATTCTATATATAAATTACTTGTTAAAAGACGAATGCAAAATTACACCGGCATTTATACGCGGAAGTAACTGGCAATGCAAGGGGAATACAAAATGTACCAAGGAGTAACTACATACATATTCGTTCGCGAGAGTGACTAGAATAACGTTTACTTACCAACACTCTCCAACCTCTTGGCTTCCTTCTTTTCCTCCTTGGGGCGGGGAACATGGCTATGTTTATGCTTTCTGAGCAAAATATCTCTCATATATTGTCTTAACTTGTGGTCCAGGTGGTCATGATCAATCCAGTGATCCAACAATTCATCTAAAAGAAAATGTTTTACTTTAATAATGTAGCTTGCTAAGGTCAAAAAGCCTACAAACATAAAATTTGGAATCCTTACATATATCATGTGAAGCAATTAAAATGAAAAAAAATCTACAAAGGATGATAAAGAAACATAATTATAATTAAAATGAATATCAATTTTTTTTAGCGATTCTTAGCCCAATTTCAGTGAAAAGCGTTGCAAGATTTTTCATTTTTGGGTCATTCTGCACAATGAAAATAGTATTTCTGGAAAACATGGGGTCAGGTGATGATCTGAAAATGTGCACATAAGTTATTACTCCAGACATGCATCAAATGTTACACAAATCTTTGAAAAAAATATTACCATTTCCTTCATGTAAAAAAACAACTCAGTGCAACCCACTAAATAATAAATAAACAAGTCATTAAACATATTTTAACTTGTGTTATTTTTCTAAATAAGCAATGAAAAAAGAAAGAAAAGTAATTTTTTGACCTGAAGAGAACTTCTATTTAATAACTTCAAATTAAATTATTATTGAAATCAATCGTTGTAAATAATTACCGGCCATTTCTCCCATCGAGAAGATATCCAAGTCTAGCAAGAGACTACCTTCCATCAACATCTTTCTTGTCTCCAACATTGCGTGCATTGACAATGACGCTACGTGCGGTTTTGACCATCTCTTACCACCTTCCTCCACTACCTCTTCAAACTTAACCCATCTAAATAAGCAACCTCATAAATAATATGTGCATTTTCCAAGAGACTTTTAAAAAAACACTTCCATACATTAACTGTTTTCTGTGTTATTTTGTTTGATGTTCATGATATAATGTTACACCAGACTGATACACCAGTTTAACTTAAGTTATCCTCATTTAAAGATATGATCATTTAGTCTTAATATATGATAGATGATAAAAGTACATTTATGTGTAATTTGTACCTGGCAGTTTCTCTCCACTCCCAGTTGCCCATGAACGTTTTCAGTGTGTCGAGTTGGCAAAAAACGTTGTGACTTTTGTGCCCTTTATCCTTGACATTGTTGAGCACATTTTGTACAATGTCTACTGGGAAATATTCCTGGTCTGTGAGAGTATGTGCGGTTTCCTCCTCATTCAAGTCTGAAGCAGACGATTTGTAATTTTCAAAATATACCGAACCTTGCAACGGAACTTTTGTCGCTGCTTCAAAAGGTGAATTTATTGCAAAAACATATTATTTTTTTTTGAAGATTGTATACAACTGATTTAACCAAGACAAAGCTTTCATTTCACAAGTTTGATGATCTTAATTTTAAAATGAAATGAGCAATATTATATGAGATTATAAATCCTACCATCACTAGACGGTATATGAGGTCTCTTGGGTTTGTTTGGAAGTTGGAGATTAGCGTACAGACTTCCACGTCTTCCACCGGCACCTGAAATATCACACAATAAACATAATGTACAAAATATCATATCATGTGTATTACTATTACTTTAATACTACATAAATTAAGTGCTATACTTAATCGAATTAATTATTTTAAAGTTTCTAAAACAAAGAAATTGTCAGCATCTTATATACAAATAAGTTTATTTGATATATGATAAATTGTTAGGAAAATATAATTAAGGACATTATATAACGTACAGAGATATGAAATACGTACAAGGTGATTAAATGGGGTGAAAATCTATAATAAAGAGGTGGTTTGGCGTTTATAAATGTGGGCTTTACATGCAAAATGTCATTAATAAGCGTAACAGAACAGCGCCAGGACACGAAAGGATGTAATCTTGTAATATAGTTGTGCTTTCAAAGCTAAAGTCATGTGCATTTGATAAAAACATTCTATCTAGTTTGCAGTTTGCATTGCTACCTTCACGGAGTCTTACCATATCTTTTAAAGCAGCCTGTATTTACATAAAGGCATCGTGTCATTTTTACTAATGATAAAAATAAATAATGTACGGAACAGGTCGCAGTAGAAGTAGAGTAGAAGCGCAGTCAATCAGGTTTGTAGCAGTTTGTAGTATGGCTTACTTACCACAACTGATAAAAAAATCAATAACAAAAATTGAAAAAATCTTAGTACAATTTAATTTACGGTACATCAAATGAAGGATTATATTTTTCTACGTTTACAAATTCACATGCAGGTCAATCCAAACTTTGTGAAGTCCACGGTTTGATTTTATAGACTTTCTATGCAAAAGGCAAACAAAGAAGCTTTAAGAGCGAATATTACAATTATAAAACGAAGAACTTCTGTGGTTAACTAAGGATTTACAAACAGGAAAACATAAAATTAATAATTATTTACTTTTGATTATTCTAAGAATTCAAGCAAAATCAAACCATCATACCAAGCTGTGTTATTAAACATGCTAAATGCATGATGCGTTTCTAAAACTAGACACACGCACGTTTTAAAACAAAACAAGGGGTCAAATATGCTGTCATATAAATTCATGCAATGTAATCACATGTATACATAAATAAATGGGTATGATTTCTATTGTCAATAACTCGTGCACTCATGTGCTTTCATATAATGACTGAGTAAATATGATATAAAAATGTATGTCAATGCGCTTCATATTTGCACATTTGAGTATAGACAGTCAATAAAATAATGTAAAATTGGCTTTAGTGTACTTTCAAAGTCAACGCCATTAAATCATTTAACCGTTTTATTGTTACAATATTTAAATCTTATATTCATGACAACTTATTTGTTCATATTATTTTATAAATCATACATCGTTACCATAGTTACAAATGTCTGCACAAGCGGTTTAAAACTCACCTGTACTCGGAGATTTTAATATACCTGTTTAAATGAAATAAATTTAAAAAAACTATTGTAAAAAATGGTCTATTTCAAGATACTTAAAAAAGTGAGGTATCTAGTTTGGTTGTATGTAATTATAATCTTTTATTTCATTATATATATTTACAATATTTCGTTATCGTTAAAAAACTTCCATTATCTTCCTTAGCAAAATATAGTCACATCTGGTAGAAAATAAGAACACGTGTTTTCTGTTATGAGAACAATTTTACAAAACAAAGACAATATAAGAATATCTTTTACAGCTAATGCATGGTCAATTTGATATAATATGTTAAAATCATCATTATTAATATATGTATATATCTCTCATATTATAACATGAATATTTATGTTTTCTTTGTTTAACCACAATAAGCGTGTTATGTTTATGTCGAATATATGTTCTGTTCTATCTTAAACAGCCCAGACTGAATATTTGATAAACAGTATATACTTAAGTCAATTTCATAATCACTGTAAATTTGCACGCACCGTTTACGTCATTTTATCTTACTTTGTCAATTACAAAATTTAAATCAAAACGATCTTTGATTTTATCTAAAATGGTTATGAGGATTTTAAAGTAAAATGAAAGCATTAAAATCGGTGTATCAAAACAGTTAACGATCTAAAAACGTTTCTGTCATTATTCACGGTATTTATAGTATAACGAATCTTATGTTGTTTTCTTAAATGGTGTAAACGAACACTTTGAAATGTTTTATCACCATAATAATTCACATTGCAAACGAAAATTGCATCATCGCAATTAGATAATCGTCAACTATGATTCCCAGTCTTCCCCTTAAAGTAATATAATGTTATTTTATTTTACTTTTCTAATCTGATGATGACATTATTTCACCATTGAATGCTAGAATATCCGACGGCGGAATATCTGGACCGCGTCTCGGTGTTTATTACGTAACCAGAGTAAAACGCCCCTTTATCTGATTGTTTATTGTCACTACTTATCGCGAACTTTAAAGCTATCTTCAGACTTAATAATCACCAAAACCTTAGAAAACATAAAAAATATGTTATAATAGTTTAAATTTGAGGTATTTAATCAATTAATTAATTAATTTAATTATTTATTTATTTATTTTTTTATTTATTTATTTATTTATTTATTTATTTATTTATTTATTTCACATCCAAAATACATAATACAGTATTATTATTATTATTATTTTTATTATTATTATTTTTTTTTTTATTATTATTATTATTATTATTATTATTATTATTATTATAGAGCAGACCTTAGCAAAAAGGCATTAGAGTATGTTAAAGCTTATATGTTCTTAGGTTATTACCCCATGAGCCATAAATGGCAAAGACATTTATATTCGTTTTCTGACTGTGCACAAGTTCATGCGATATAAAATTTATTATTTCATCACGCATAATCTAACAAAACCTTGAAATTGTAACAGTTCCCTACCACAAAATGATTTATTTTTACCCGTGACTAACGACCAGGTATTAATTTTATTGGTATCATACTCTAATGGTTGCTCATCATTGCCCATGTACAACTTGTTCTGCTGAATTTCTATGTACTGTCCATTATCAATTTAAGGGTAATCAGGATGAAAATAATGTAAACCAACATTTAAGGCCTAGTGGCCCTTTATGGTTGTGCAGGCCAACCTGGGCAAAAGCTACTAGTATATCACCTTCGGTTTTTGCAGGTAAATGTTAAAGAAAGCTCTTGTATGTCCTCGTTCCAGAGAAAAAACAAATGACATTGTTTTGAATCTGAATAAAATCTTTACTTAATGAACATGGGAAAAATGAATTAGATTTGATAAACTATCTTAAATAAAACTTCAATTGGACGTTTCCGGGAATAACCATCAGTAATATTATTATATTCATGGACTCACAGACAAGAAGATGAATTATAATTTAGGTGACATACATAATTGTTCTACTCTAAGTATACGTATTATAAATTAATTATTAGTAGGGAAATATGTATGAAAGGGAAGGTGGACAAGCAAATGACTTTTATCTGTTTTGCATTTCAATGTTATTTATATATACACAATGTATTTAAGCATGTTTATGTTTGTAATTAACCAGACCTTGAACCGGACAATATATATGTAAAACAATATGTATCATCATTTGCTGATTATCTTATTCACGCTCATTTTACGATTTTACAGATTAAACATATATTTAAACGAATTATTGCTTATCTTAAAACTGAACATTACTAGCGTTTAAACCACGCACAATACCAGTATACTAGATGTCGAGTATTAAAGTAAATGAATAATTGAACTCCAATTGTCTAGGCAGTGCCAAATAATTGCATTGTCATATATTTGTTTTGTGACGTCACCGAAAACGTGTATTTGGTTAGTTTCTTTCCAATGCACACATTACCGCTTAATAAATAAGGTGAGCGTATCTAAACTAATATGCAATCCTAACTTGGCTTAACCTTTACTTTGACACCAGTAAAGAAAAACTCAAACAGATAAAGAGAAATACAAATAAAAACAACATATATTATGTCTCCAATTTTTGCATTTTAGATATTACAACCTTTGTTTATGAGGAAATCAAAACAACTTTTACATTTACCTTATTTATTTTACTAAATTATTGTAAACTCTACACGCCCTCTTGCCAATGTTTAAAAGCATGTAAACGTATCTAAATACACCGTAGATACATCATAAACCGTTAATTACAATCTTGTACATTAAATCAATGCATGTAATTAGACAATCATTATGTTCATATTTTTGAATGCACGACAAAAACAATAAATCTTTCAGTGAATGCGCATTTATCAAAGAATTTAATGTTCTTAATATAGTAAGCCAACACGTGTCAATATGCAAATGTATATACATGTATATAATTATATTTTACTTCGAGAGAAACGGAATTCGAGTAATGTGGAACTCCCGCCATTACATTGACATTCGTACATGTATATACATGCGCCTGATTGAATGTGTAAAGAAGTAGGTTGTTATTGTTATTAGCGGCAATGCTGCAATATTTGACCATTGAAATGAGGGTATATAACTTACAACTACAAATTATAAATGAACAAAAATATATCATTCAAAATTTAATACATGTATATTAATAGTGAAACATAAACACACAATTATATTTGATTTAATTGATCATCGGACGAAAATGAAATTAGCAACTATCGTGAACCGGAAGTACAAATTAATGTATGCAATATGACGGAACATTAATTTACAAATGTTATTTACGTTGATAACACACATCAATACCTAAGCTATTATTTGACTAACACCCGTCAGACCAGCACGAGTCAACTTTCTTAAAGCAATGTAGTTAAATTTTAATTTAGTTATCTAACTGTTAAAACCAATTAAGTCCTGAAACGGATTAAAGCCATTTTTACGACGTGTTAATTATACATGATGACGGGCAATTAAAAATTACTATGAAACATGTAAATCACGAATGACAACATCTCACCATGATGTCACCGACCTTTGATCAGTCGGCTGTTTTCACACTTCGACTAATTGAGATGAAAATATGTTGCACTTTAATTGACAGGAACCAAATTTTTTTTTCGACTAAACAGGAGTCTCGGTAAGTCAAAATTTGACCTAAGCGGAGTTAAAATACAAAGATAAAGAAGGAAATTTGACGGAACTTAAGAAATTATTCGACTAAGGCGGAATTTTGAGTAAAGCGATTTTGACTTATTGAGAGTCAACTGTACTTACTTTGCGCGTCTTACCAGGACTTTTTTTGTATCAATTTAATATGTATCTATGTATGAAGACCGAGAATATATTCTATTTTGTATATACTAGTTACTGCTTGTATTAGGTAGGAACCTGCTGGCATCAACTGTTATCTTGCCAGTACAGACAAATCCATGCCTGCTTTGTTCGCTAGTCAGTCAGAACTTACACATTTTGAAATTACCCCTAAAATGATTAACTATTTTGTCCAGACTGAGATATTGAAAAGTTTATTTACGACATTTAAAGTGGAGTGTTTGTTTTTAACTTAAAAAGTTAATGATAAGAAAAGACAAATCTTACCATTCCTCTGCCTTGTATTTTCGTCCTGCCCTTTTGAGTCCATGGCTGTAAAACAAAAAGCAAATCCGACCATAAAATAACTAGTGTAAAATATTTCATAAATAGCTTTCTTCAAATAACTCTCTTCAAGAACAGGATGTCTTTGAATGCAAGAAACCAGAAGTTCTTTAAATAAAGACATGAATGTCAGAGAGATTGTCCTGAAGTTCTGCAAAGACCTTTCAGTTCTTTGTTCAGTATAATATGCCATTTCCCATTTATTTTTTATATAAACAAAGGTAAATAGAATGTTCAATAAACAAAAGTTTCGTCACTGGTTTATTTCAATAATAGCCTGGTATATATGTTATCAGTTTTTCTTTTAATTTTGATGTTATAGTGTCCCTGTGTCTATTCATACCTATGCAGACGTGGCAGTAAAACTAGAAAAAGAATATGTAAGGAATTCTAAAACATGTCAATAAAAATTTCATTAACTGAGTTTAACATAACATAAGCTCGGATGTGAAACAAGTTGTGCGGTGCCCAAAATTGTCCGCTAAATAAGAATCAAAAACCAAGTCGCTTTAGTTAACACTTAGGCCAAATGCCGAAATATATAAGTATTAAAAATATAAATATTAAAAAATAAAAATACATCGTCTACTTACATCGAACGTTTAGCTCCATCTTAAATTTATGTTCACATGGAAATATTTGTACAAAAACCATAATAAAATAATAACTCAGATAATAAACCAAAAATGTGGTAAGTCACTCTTGATAGAAACATGTATAACATAGATTTAACTTGTAATAAAACGTTCAAATTAGCATGGGATTATATATAATAAAGTTGAAAATCCGCAATTAAAAACACAAACATAATGAATTGATGCGCACTGTTCACAATTTTGCAGTTAGTGCGTCGTCCTTCATACGTTACAATGCATGATCTCGTTTTCGTTTTATTTTGTAATTCATTTTAAAATTAATAATCAGATAGACTTGTGTCTATGTTAAGGTGTCCATGACCGTTGTTTAAGTAACGTGTTGTTAATGTTTTATATAAATGATCGGTTAGAAGTCCGAACGCTACACAACCATAACAATTAATAAAAATGCTCGTAAAATAATAACAACAACAACACAGACGTATATTTCTACTTACATTTCACATTTTCCAAGAAGGGCATTGTTAGAAAAAATTATAACATTCATGTTTGCACCTTTTTTAAATAAATCGTTATAAAGAGATTGTGTGTTTGTTATGTAAACTGATTGCTTATTTTATACATGCTACTAATGAATACCATGACTTTAATCATTTTCTGCGACATTATATACATGTATCTATATAAAATGAATGTACATGTATTGAAATGTAACGATTTTACGGATATAGAAACTATATAAAATCATAAAAATATCTAGTAAGTATGATAGTAATTGTGGTAAAAAATGTAATCACTATAATTCTGACTTTCATCTCATAAAAGAAAAATCCAACCTCCCCGAGTTTAATTTGATATTATTTCAGACAAATTCATTTACAGCCAAAAATATTCTATGAACGCCCCAACAATGCAGCAAAAAGTCCTAACAAAATTTTATTTAATTTTATATTAAGCTGCCACGGAAAGAGAGATAACTCTAAAATAAAAGTAAGCTCGCTATATACTCATAAAGTAACGAAAGTATCCGCAATATTTTACGCAGCTACCGTAGTGAAGTAAAGAAAAATCTAGCGGGAAATGAAAAGAAAAAGCAAAAACAAAACAAAACAAACAAAAAAATAGTGGTAAAGATGGTCGTTGTAAACAAGACAATAATCATTTATTTCTTTTCTGTTTATATCTTTACTGTTTGTAAAACACGTAAATGTTAAATATACAAAGATATGGCCAAAGGTTATCTAAAATAGTTAAAATTTAAATGATCAAAGATATTTTTTGCATTAAGATGAAATCGTAAATTTATATTAAGTGAAGATTATTAAGCTTATTTTTCAAAACACCTTTAATCAAAACAACATATTTGGACTATTCCGTGATAAATGAAAGATTTCTATTAATAACATTTAAAATGTATATAACCATGCAAACATATTATTTCTATATCAAATATTTAACTGTTGGGTTTTCTTAAGGTATATTTTCTACTAGAAACAAATAAAACTTACCAATGTTTTCTTCCATTTTTAAAAATATCTAATTCTTCTTAATTATTTAAAAATTGTATCTAAAAGTTTTGAGCATAACTCAAACATAAATATTTCTTTCTTTTACCAGTAAACAAATTTGACACTGAAACACGTTTAGATCAATATTTTGTTTATACGATTAACTGAGCTATTTGAATTTAATTGATGTTGGTCACTCCCCCGAGGAAAATTAAACTTAGATTTCTAAATGTTCACTTTGAACATGCGCGCATCTTATGTCAAATATTTGACATTAATTCTAATGAATTCATCTTCGTATTTTTTATAACTTTAATACCTTCAGCAAAAAATTATTAGATGACAAATCTTTTTTCAAATGCTCTTTTTTTATAAAATTTTAAAAGAATTAAGCTAAACCAGTTAACAAAAACCTATTAGTCGGTATAAAAAGTAAATAAAGTTTTTCAAACTTACTTCAAACTTTACACTATCCGGCTATCAGATCTGTAAAATTTTAACCTCCTTGCCGTTCTTGTGCAAGCACCCGACTGCGATTGTTTGCAGAAATGTTGGTGATTCTACCTGAAGAATCACTGCGCAAGTAAGTCGGTTCAACGAGACCGTATCTTTTACGACTCCGCCTTAAGAAAATAGTCCCGATTATTCATTTCAGTGCTCCGAGTGCGAATTGATATTATACCTTAAGGCAAAAACTTAAACATTTACTTTGACTATCAGTTTTATATTATATTTGTCAGTGTTTTTAAAAAATTTAACTTTGATTTTTTATCTTGATAGTCGTTTCTACCCCCTTTTAAAAACTTTCCCGCTAAAAGAAAGGGGGGCTCATTAAAAAAATCACCCCCATTTTAAAAAAAACGAAAGACATAAAAACTAAAAAACGAATCAAAAAAATCAAGATACACCTAAGTCGTAGAACACCCCGTCGGCCCATTTACGGGAACTTAAGAAAAAAAAAATAGCGCCAAAAGAAATCTTACTTTTGCTTTTTGAAAACCCATTTTTTGTATTAAGTAATATAAACTTCAAAACTCCCCCTTAAAAAAATATAAACCCTGTTTTTCCGGGGGCTAATTTAAATATTATTAGACATGTAAATTAAAAAACGGCTGACAAATCACTGTTTTTTCAATACATTAAAGACAAAAATCAAGGAAAACCAGTCCCGGTTTAAAAGGGGAAAAATTTAAAATTACTTTCCCAAACTTTTTCGCAAAAAAAATAATTAAAAACCCAATTTTGATAAAATTTGCCTTTTTAACTTTTTCAAATTTTCAAGCAAGCATGGTACACGGCAAAAAAATTTAGATATGCAAATTTTTTAAAAAAGGGATCCTTTTTTAATAAAAACATCTTCAAAATTTGCAATTTAAAATTTCATTTACTTCTTACACCAAATTTTTAAATTTTATCAACGATTTTTGCATAGACCCGGGAAAAAGTTTTTGGACCAAAAATTTTTTCGGGATTTTTTTTCATATACTCAAATTATTTTAAATATAGGTAAAATGCAGGTTTTTTTTTCTTGCATGGGCCAAAGGGTAAAAATTAAAACCCTTGAAACCCCCTTTAATTGGGACTAAATGTAAACTGATATATGTCGCGCTCGCATCCGCAATATTTTTGGGAAAATTTTCGGTTTTACTAAAATTTTCCCTTTTCATAAAAAGGACCGGGAAAATTTTTTTTCAATCACAAAAGGGCTCAAAAAATTGTTTATAAAAGAAAAGGGGGGAAAAACTTTGAAAAAATTTTAATTATATTCAAAATGATCCACAAAAGTATTTTTGTGGTTAATCAACTAAAATGAATTATATAATGACAGACAACACACCAACGTTCCTCCAGCTTTCAACAAAACTCAACACATCCTCTACCTTGTAAACATGTTGACATGGTGCGTATTTTTATGGTATAGTCTCATCTTATACATGAACTTATTCCTTTATTATGAAGAGGGAATTATTTACATTTTATATTTGACATATACAGTAAAACATATATCTAAATATCAATTATATATTTCTACTTCACAACATCCGAATAGTACATAGCATAATACATAGCATAATACATAATACATAGCATAATACTTAGCACATTTCATACATATTTTAAATCAATATTTATTTCTTAACATCGTCTGTACTATAAAACGATTTTGTAATGTCAATACTATTTAAGCCTACTGAGAAAAAACAACTGAAACAATCAATCAATCAGAACAAGTATTTCATCAGGAAAAAGGTTAATATATAAACGAGTAAATATACCATTCTTTTTTATGTCTATTCTAGTGAACATACATTTGTGAATATAGGTAAAACAGAATCAAATATTGACAAATCAAGCACACCTAAGAGTCTTAACTTCTTAAATGTTTACAGAGACATCGTCATGCATACATTCTATATGTTTTATTTTGCGTAACATTCATCACTTCAAATGTGAGTAAGGCATAATATTAACAATAATAATAATAATAATCATATACCCGTACCGCTTTTGCGACTCCGTAAAAATGGTATTGCACAACCGTACATATATTTTGAGGTGACGTCATTTGCGTTGTACTCGTACATGGTTACGTTCATCATTTCGTTCATGACTTAAAGGGTGGAAATAGTAGGGTACATGACTTCTCGTGAGGTAATGGTAACGTTTATCACTTAAAGGGTGGAAACAGTAAGGGATATGTCTTCTCGTGAGGTAATGGTAATTTTCAAACTTAAAGGGTGGAAATAGAAGGGCACATGACTTCCCGTGAGGAAATGGTAACGTTCCTCACTTCCAGTGTGAATTAGTAAGGCACATGTCTTCTCGTGAGGTAATGGTAATTTTCAAACTTAAAGGGTGGAAATAGAAGGGCACATGACTTCCCGTGAGGAAATGGTAACGTTCCTCACTTCCAGTATGAATTAGTAAGGCACATGTCTTCTCGTGAGGTAATGGTAATTTTCAAACTTAAAGGGTGGAAATAGAAGGGCACATGACTTCCCGTGAGGAAATGGTAACGTTCCTCACTTCCAGTGTGAATTAGTAAGGCACATGTCTTCTCGTGAGGAAATGGTAAGGAAAAGAAGAGCGCATGACTTCCCGTGAGGTAATGGTAACGTTTATCACTTCCAGTGTTAGAATAGTAAAGCACATGTCTTCTCGTGAGGTAATGGTAAAGTTTATCGTTTAAAGGGTGGATATATTAAGGCACATGACTTTTCGTGAGGTAATGGTAACATTCATCACATACAGGGTGGAAATAGTAGGGCACATGACTTCTCGTAAGGTAATGGTTATGTTCATCACTTCCAGGTTGGAAATAGTAAGGCAAACGACTTCCCGTGAGGTTATGGTAACTTTCAAACTTAAAGGGTAAAATAGTAGGACACATGACTTTTTGTGAAGTAAAGGTAACGTTCATCACTTCCAGGGTGGAAATAGTAAGGCACATGACTTCTCGTAAGGTAGTGGTAATTTCAAACTTAAAGGGCAATAGTAGGACGCATGACTTTTCGTGAGGTAATGGTAACGTTCATCACTTCCAGTGTGAATTAGTAAGGCACATGTCTTCTCGTAACGTAATGGTAATTTCAAACTTAAAGGGCAATAGTAGGACACATGACTTTTCGTGAGGTAATGGTAACGTTCATCACTTCCAGTGTGAAATACTAAGGTACATGTCTTCTCGTGAAGTAATGGTCATTTTCAAACTTAAAGGGTGGAAATAGTAGGACACATGACTTTTCATGAGATAATGGTAGCGTTCATCACTTCCAAGGTGAAAATAGTAGAGCACATGTCTTTTTCTAAGGTAATGGTAACGTTCATCACTTCCAGAGTGGAAATAGTAAGGTACATATATTCCCGTTAGGTAATGGTAACGTTCATCACTTCCAAGGTGAAAATAGTAGGGTACATGACTTCCCTAAAGGTAATGGGAACGTTCATCACTTACAGTTTGGAAATAGTAGGGTATATGACTTTTCAGTAAGGTAATGGTAACGTTCATCACTTACAGTATGGGAATAGTAAGGCACATGTTTTCTTGTGAGGTAATGGTTACGTTCATCACTTCCAGGGTGGAAAAAGTAGAGCATATGTCTTTGTGAGGTAATGGTAACTTCATCACTTACAGTATGGGAATAGTAAGGCACATTTCTTCTCGTGAGGTAATGGTAACGTTAATTACTTCCAGGGTGGAAATAGTAAGGCGCATGACATCCCTAAGGGTAATGGTAACGTTCATCGCTTCCATGGCGGGTATAGTGAGGCACATGGATGATGACTTTTTTGAGGTAATGGTAACGTTCGACACTCCAAGAGTGGAAGTAATAGGGCATATGACTTCTCATGAGGTAATGGTAACATTCATTACATACAGTGTGGAAATAGCAAGGCACATGACTTTTTGTGAGGTTAAATCGTATAACAAAACATGCATAGTGCAGGTATTAGTTACCCGCATTTTTGTCGTCATACTCGTGGGGGTACATATTGTGACGACAGCGAAAGGCATAACGATAGAAATGTCATATGCAGATGCTCGTACATTTGTTACTTCCAGCGACGGTAAAATACGAGTCATCACTTCCTTCGACGGTAAAGTACCAGTCATCACTTTCGGCGACGGTAAGGTAACATTCATCAATTCCAGCGACTGTAGGTAACGGTCAACACTTCCTGCGACGGTAAAGTACGAGTCATCAATACCTGCGACGATAAGGTAACAGTGACAGTAAGATAACAGTCATCAATTCAAGCGACTGTTAGTAACGGTTATCACTTCCTGCGATGGTTAAGTACCTGGTATCACTTCCTGCGACGGTAAGGTAATAGTCATCACTTTGTGCGTCGGTAAGGCAACAGTAATCCATTCCAGCGATTGTATGTAACAGTCAACACTTCCTGCGACGGTTTAGTACCTGTCATCACTTTCAGCGACGATAAGGTAATAGTCATCACTTACAGCAACTGTAAGATAATAGTCATCACTTCCTGCGACGGTAAGGTAATAGTCATCACTTCCTGCGACGGTAAGGTAATAGTCATCACTTTCAGCGACTGTAAAGTACCTGACATCACTCTCAGCGACGGTAAGGTAACAGTCATCACTTTCAGCGACGGTAAGGTAACAGTCATCACTTTCAGCGACGGTAAGGTAAAAGTCATCACTGTCAGCAACTGTAAGGTAATAGTCATCACTTTCAGCGACTGTAAGGTACCTGACATTACTTTCAGCGACTGTGAGGTAAAAGTCATCACTACTTGCGACGGGTAGGTAATAGTCATCACTTCCTGCGACGGTAAGGTAATAGGCATCACTTCCTGCGACGGTAAGATAATAGTCATCACTTCCTGCGATGGTAAGGTAATAGGCATCACTTCCTGCGACGGTAAGATAATAGTCATCACTTCCTGCGATGGTAAGGTAATAGTCATCACTTCCTGCAAGGGTAAGGTAATAGTCATCAATTTTAGTGACAGTAAGGTAATAGTCATCACTTCCTGCGACGGTAAGATAATAGTCATCAATTTCAGCGACGGTAAGGTAATAGTCATCACTTCGTGCTACGGTAAAGTAATTGTCATCACTTCCTGCGATGGT